CCGGGGTGGTGGTCCCTATTTTCAAGAAAGGGGACCGGAGGGTGTGTGCCAACTATCGGGGTATCACACTGCTCAGCCTCCCTGGGAAAGTCTATGCCAAGGTGCTGGAAAGGAGACTTCGACCGATAGTTGAGCCTCAGATTGAGGAGGAACAATGCGGATTCCGTCCTGGCCGTGGAACAATGGACCAGCTTTTCACCCTCTCACGGATGGTTGAGGGGGCATGGGAGTTTGCAAACCCAGTCTACATGTGTTTTGTGGATTTGGAGAAGGCTTACGACCGTGTTCCCCGAGATATCTTGTGGGAGATCCTCCGGGAGTATGGGGTGCCGGGGTTACTACTCCGGGCCATTCAATCTCTGTACGCCCGGAGTGAGAGCTGTGTTTGTATACTCGGCATTAAGTCGGACTCTTTCAGTGTTAGCGTTGGACTCCGCCAGGGTTGTGCCCTGTCTCCACTCCTGTTTGTGATATTCATGGACAGGGTGTCAAGGGGTAGCTAGGGTCAGGAGGGCATTATGTGTGGAGGCTGGAGGGTGGCGTCTCTGCTATTTGCAGATGATGTTGTTCTTTTGGCTGGATCACATGGATGCCTCCAGCGCGCACTGTAGCGGTTATGCAGATCAGCACCTCCAAGTCTGAGTCCATGGTCTTAGCCTGGAAAAGGATGGCATGCCCACTCCAGGTAAGGGGAAAGGACTTGCCCCAGGTGGAGGAGTTTAAGTATCTCGGGGTCTTGTTCACGAGTGATGGGAAGAGGGATCGTGAGATCGACCACAGGCTGGGACAGGCGGCAGCAGTAATGCGGTTGCTGTACCGGACTGTAGTGGTGAAGAGGGAGCTGAGCCATAAGGCTCAGCTCTCTGTTTACCGATCGGTCTACATCCCGACCCTCACCTATGGTCATCAGCTGTGGGTAATGACCGAAACAATGAGATTGCGAATACAAGCGGCGGAAATGAGCTTTCTTCGCAGGGTGGCGGGCTACACTCTATTTGATAGGGTGAGGAGCTCGGCCAACCGGGAGGAGCTCGGAGTAGAGCCGCTACTCCTCCGCATTGAGAGGAGCCAGCTGAGGTGGTTCGGGCATCTGATCCGGATGCCCCCTGGACGCCTCCTGGTGGGGGTGTACCAGGCACGGCCTACCGGAATAAGACCCCGGGGTCGTCCTAGGACCCGCTAGAGGGATTATATCTCCAAGTTGGCCTGGGAGCAGCTTGGGGTCCCTGGGAATGAGCTGGAGGAAGTTGCGGGGGACAGGGTCATCTGGGATTCTCTGCTCTCCCAACTGCTACCGCGACCCTATCTGGACTAAGCGGTTAACGATGATGATGATGATGATGATGATAAAAAGGTTATAATGACATAAACAGTCCAACTAAGACAAACAAATTAGTCAATTGAGCACATTTTAAAACACATCAACACAACCAATTTTGTCCAAGCTTATGCCACATCCCTATATTTCAATTCATAGCATAATTTCATCTTTTCTTTATCTTCTTTTTATTATATTGTTAGTGCTGACCTATCAAAGATAGGTCCTGTCTCTAATCGATCTAGATTTGGCTTTGTTAATCCTTGCTGTCGAATGCTGTAATAACGCAATGGCCAGCATATCTATCTGAGAGTTTTCCTGGTCTTTCAAATCTTACTTTGACTTTCACGGTTCCCTTCAATTACCATCTCTTATTGACATTTCAGACAGTGAAAACTGTGAGCTGGAAACATTTTGGCACAATTACTATTTTCTTTTTTTATTTTTTAAGTCAATCTAATATAATGTAACTGTGCATTAAAATTTGCAAAAATGTTTGCTGCAAAGCTTGTGTTGTTTGTGTTCAGAACTTCTTTTCATTTCAAAAATCAACAGAACATATCATTTTCCCAGTGGTGTCCAAACCTTTCATACAACTGTCTAGTCATTGGTTTATTGTACAGAACTTCTGTTCTGAGTGTCTCTGTTAACCTTACTTATAAACTTGCACTGCTCGTGTTACTATCCAGTACAGCCCAGAGGAAGATGAGCTCCCCTTTTGAGTCTTGGCTCATGCATTTAGGTTATTTTACATCTGGCTTATTACAGGGTTGGATCCAGAACTCTATTACGTTGCTCTCTGACAATGTCTTTTGTAAAACTGTTACATTAATAAAACTGAACAGAATTAAAATGGTCGATTACTGTGTTTTTCTGTAAACATAACCTAGGACAACAGTGAAACGTCCACTGCATTAGAAGGTTGACCTCAACTCTTAACGTTTTACTCTCACACTTCCCTCTACTGGACCAAGAGTGCATTTTGCAATGTGAGGCCTTGTATGTATTATACTGCCGCCTACTGGACATAATTACACTGTACATATAGTGTTAGAAGGACACTTTTATAATAAAAAATTGTAAAAAAAAAATCTAACCAATGTCACCCTGCTGGTGACATCCTGTATAAATAAAAATAATGCATGGCCACACCGTATTAACGCATGGGAAAAAGATCCTAATGGGTGGCCATGACTTAGTAAGGCACGGGAACAAAATCATGCCTTATTAAGCTGTGATCAAGGCTTAATTATCTCATTCCCATGCCTTACTAAGTTGTGGCCATGTGTTATTTTTATTTATATGGGATGTCACCAGCAGGGTTCTGTAGTAAACCCCTGATGATGTTTCTTGAAGAAGGCAGGAAACTTTTTTAAAAACTATCACTGGGGTTGTTTTTTATGGACGAGCTGTTTTTAAGTATGTTTTATCCACCTGGCAAATGCAGACGGAACAAAGAGAGCTAACATCACTGCTAGGATATCTTATCGCAACCGTATAACTTCAAACTATAAGTTTTCTTCTTTTTTCAAATCATCATTTCAATAGATAGAATACGTGACTCAAATGACAGAAATGACACATCACAAGAGGAGGAAAACAAGCTAAAAGCTAAACTTTGATACCTTATGTCAGTCCTAGCTCTGGCTGGAGAGTAAAAAACCTAAAGCCGCCACAAGAGAGTTATCCAGTACACTAGGACTGACCAGCATTCACCTCATATTCATTACTGCACTTCTTTATCATTCAAATGAATTGTCACTAATATATATATATATATATATATATATATATATATATATATATATATATATATATATATATATAGGTCAGAGGCAATGCTAATGGTCAGGACTGGTTGCTGGTTGATTCCCTATAGTTTCATAAATATATTTGTTTAATGCATGCTATTGTAGTGAGAGAACACTGATGAAAGAAAATAATATAAAATTCCGATTTCTGTTAATATGATGAGGCTGAGGGATACAATGCCACACTACAGAATACTGCATAACACAACAATAACATATTAGGGTTTAGTTTTAGGCCAGAATAACAGACCCAATGTTGAGGACAACGAATAACTGCCTGTAATCTCAGAATTTCATATTTTACAATTATATAAAACAATTCACACAGTCAAGCCAGCCCTGCGCTCAGTAAAGAAAGAGATCATATCATCTTGTTTTTCAGTTCTAAAGATTACATTTGAACATTGGTTTGTGGTTACTGTCAATTATGGTTTGGCCAAATAATAGCGTTGGTCCTAGAATGCTCCTAGACGTTCTGCTAAAGTGAGCAGTCTCCTTTGTGCATACGTTTTTCGTTGACACGTTCTGAGATTAAATGAATGGCAACCGTGAACTTATTAAAGCTGCACTATGTAAATTTTGGGGGTTTGGGGACTTTACAGGGTGACACGCAGCAGTGCACGGACAACATAGCATGTTTTTTTCCTCCTTACTCAGTGATACTGACTCTTTCAATTTTAACAAAAAATCCTAAATAGTGCTGCTTTCATTTTATACAGCTGTGGTTCCTGATTAGCCTCTAACTGCAAAAGAGAGATTTCAAGCACACAATTCAGTCAATACTTTTTAGAACGTTCACTGGGTGGCTTAAACGTGGGTTCTATTTTTAAGATGTATGAGTAACATGATTCGGATTTGTTTAATTTGTTGTTTTCAGCATCTGATTTGTTTACCTGGTTGTCAAGGTCTTGGTGGAACAGTGAGAAACTGTACTGCACATGTGTAGAGCTTGGCACGAATCTGAAATTAGAGTGTTTTTCTCTGTATATCTCCATTGGGAAAACATCAATTTAGGCTCGAAATGATGACAGCACTTTCAGCTTACTGAATCGTTTGATAAAGCTGACTTGCATTACAAACAGGTGGCCAAATTCAGAGGCTCTGCGGTTCACAGTCATGCTAGTGTGGTCAGACGAGACCACTAAGGAGAATTGCCACTCAGTAGTGACTTCCAGGTTAGTCAGACATTAGAGGGCACTCCCAAGTGAGTCCAAAATGAATGGGTTAATATGAAGCATTGAGCAAAGGCATGGTTTGTAAATGCTTAAACATTTTATATAAAACACTACATCAATTTCCTGAACATGGAACAGCATAAAACATTTTAACATCACTGTTATATTTTTGAGCACTTTTGAATAAGAGTTTATAACCGTGCCTGATGTACATTAATGATGTCAGTAACCCGTTTCACTGACCCAATGAACTTCTCCACTCACAACCAATCAGCACTCAGTAGCTGTAACATCAACCAATCAGCACTCAGTAACAGTAATGCTAACCAGTCAGTAACTCAGTAGCAGTATCACTAGCATCCTACAGCATTAAGTAGCAGTAATGCTGGCGTCTTATGGCTTAACACCCGTTTGCTGTAGAACAAAAGAAATATACACTGACTTTTTAGTGATGAAATACATCCTTGTACATTTTAAAATTAAAGGAAGTTCCTGGAGAGGTAGAAACTAGTTTAACTTTTCCCTGTTAGCCGTTTAGCTCCATACACTCCCATTCACTGAGGACTCGCTCGCGGGCGCCCTCTGGCGTTTTGCAGTCATGTTTTTGATGTGACGGGTGAAATAGGAAGCGACCGGGCTCCCCTTAAACCGGCTGGTCCGATCGGTTTAGCTCACTCCTCCTTCTGTGACGAACCAGGAAAAGGGCCATTCATGATCTGTCTGCCTCGCTGTGCTCGGATTCATCCGCTCATACGGGGACAACATGGCTGCGTTAAGCGGCGTCGTGAATAAACTGGTATCTTTTTGGATACCAAACGTTACACTTATCCGCCGATATATGCCGGTTTTTTTCTTCGGTCTTTCACTCACAGGTTCAGTACTGAAAGAGCTGGACGTGGTCCCAGAGACATACTTCAGCAGCAGTAGAAATGTCTTAAACCTGTAAGTACGAACCTCCAGCTAAAGCTAAATAGTTATACTGTTAGTTGAATGAGTCTCTGTTCACAGAGATGTAAGTTAAAGTTAATTGGCAGCTACTTCATAAACTGTTCACCATATCATAGCTAGTTGCCTCCGCTGGTTCGAGCTACAGGTCAACCTAACGCTAGCTAACCTAGTTAGCGGGCACCTTACAAACAGACCAACAGAGCACCGGCGCCAGCACGAAGCTAAAAGTTGTTTCTTTTTTAACTTCTCCGTTCCACCTTAAATTGTGCAGCAGTCACATTCTGGCGTCTGGATCGCTGAGCTCAGGCTTCAGAATACAACTGCTGCAATATTTAAGGTGGAACGGAAAGTTCGAATAAGAAGTCAGTTTCAGCCTCGAAATTGTATTGTCCAGTAAAAGTTACCCGGCTCTCTATAATGGGACCTTGGCTAAGGAGGTGTAGGGGTTGACACACTTAGCTATAGAGAACTGGTCAGCTCGCTAAAACGGGTTTGTGACCTAAATAGTGAATATTAATGCAATTGAATTCTTTAACTACGTCATTCATTGTAGTCATATCAGCAGGGGTCTTGCATTAAGCCTCAGTGGTGGCTTAATCTCTCTGAAATCTAACTGAATAATTTAACAATAATAAAACAGTGGTTGCCATGTTACTTGGCTAAAGCCAACAACGCACGGAATATATATAATATGTCTTAAAGGGGGACTCCACCTATTTTTCACAATTTCTACATAATTAAATGGTTTAGATGTCAACAAAGTCATTCAGAGTGGTTTGTTGTGAAATGCTTCATTCTAGAGAAACAGGTTCGAAGTTGTTCACAGTGGTGGTGACAGGAATCAGAAGTCTAAAGTGTTTAATGCCTCTAAAGCTCCCTCCCAGAACGTTATTACACAAAATGGTTATAAATACACCGCCTGATGTCTGGGTCATTGCTTTACAGTAATGTTGTGATAAGGTTTTGATCTAAAACGTATTTTAATCGATTCTTGGTGGAGGGATACATGAAGGGCTTTCTAAGGCAAAATTTATTTTTTCAAACCATTATTTTATTATCATCATCACCATTACATATAAAAGCTCAGAAGACCCATGTATGTTCAATGGTGGTTTTGAATAGTAAAAAAATGCTATGTTTGCATTGTACATGTCAGGACTCCTGATTCCTATCAGCACCACTGTAAACAAATCTGCAAGTTTCTCTGCAAATAAACCGTTTCAGATCTAACCACTGAATTATACAGAAATTTTGAAAAATTGGTGGATTTCTCCTTTAATAGTTTTTCTTTGCATACGGTTTCGCCTTGTAACTTGCTGCTCCATCATGAATGCATTACTGAGTGCTTTTAGACTGAAAGCTATTTCAAAATTGTTGTCATGCTGTCATGTAATTAAAAATGAGGTGATTCCTGTTTGATACCCCAGTCGTACAACTGTCTAAAGTTTTGTTCTGTCACTGGGAGACCACAAGTTGAAATCTTGCTAATGCCACTACCAAAAAAAAAAGAGCTAGTTTTATGACTTGCACAGATACAAACATCTACAGTTTAGAGAAGCTAACCAGCTAAGCTAAGCCTAGGCTAGGGGGTTATACTGAGGCGTATGTTTTGATTTTTACTGACTTTTAAATTCCTTTTTCCCCTCAGCTATTTCGTGAAGGTCTCCTGGGGCTGGAACCTGGTTTTGCTGCTGCCATTTCTATTTCTCTCCAACTCATACAACAGAAACCTCATCTTTGTGTTAAGACGGCTCACATCTCTTCTGGTGGCAACAGTCATTTGGTACGTCTGCACCGAGGCGTTTTTCTACATTGAAGACATTACAGGGAACTGCTACGACTCCATGCAAGTCATCCATGAAGAATTCAGCACAAAAGCTGAGTGCAGAAAATCTGGTTTTGTCTGGGATGGCTTTGACATCTCAGGGCACTCATTCATCCTAGCTTACTCTACACTCCTCATTGTTGAAGAGATGGTTCCCATGCTCCACTTAGTGCAACACAACCAAAACAGAACAGTTGTTCTTGATGTTCTCTATGTTGCGCTCAATGCCATCGTGGTCATTTGGATATGGATGTTTGCCTGTACCTCTGTGTACTTCCATGACACCATTCACAAAATTCTGGGGACCTTATTTGCAGTCTTTGGGATGGTTTGCGACATACAAGGTTTGGTATCTGAAGCCGTGCTCCCCGGGACTGCCTCCGTTCCACAGTGAACACAAACAACACGACTAGACTGAACACTTCACACTAGTTCGAAAGATTGCAGCCTTGGAACAAACTGACACTAAATTAGCTCACAAAACATTGACCAGGTCCATTCTATGTGTGTTTTCTGTCCTTTTTAAAGGTCATTTGTAACGGGGGGTATTCGTGTGCTTATCTCTCAGAGGTGATGGGCAGCTGGCGTTCCAAAATTGACTCTGTAATCTGAGAGAAATGCTACATGTGGTATGCATGTCTCAAGTGACCACATTATCTAATCCTTATTGTTGCCTTCAAAACGTCAGTGGCTTCAGACAGGGTAGTGACATCTGCCTTTGCACAATGTGCCACTTTAAATACAATTGTACACAATCAGTGTGTTGAATTTCAGCATATTGCATAGTCATTTACTTATGAAATTGTGGTTTTTGTGTGTTTTTTGCTTTTCCAGTTGTTGATATTACTCAATTTAATTTAATTTTTGGCTGAATGTCATTTTAATCCAGTGCCATTGTCTATACTGAAAAAATGTTATCTTGGCAAGTTGAAAGCATTGGCATTATATCTGATATTTCTCAATTTGCGATTGCTACAAGAATATAGTAAGGTTTTACAGGTTGTTCTAGATATTTATTATAGATGTATTAACAAGTAAAATTCTTCCCTTTCTTCAAGTAAAATTAAATCTGCCAAGATTGCTATTGGCAGATTTTTTTTCAAAACACACCATCAGCAATTGGCCAGTTATTTACCTGAATTCTGGCTGATCTGTATTGCAATTTTTTGACGTTACTATGCTGTAAATAACCTGAGGCAGGGAAGTGCATTCGCACTGTGTTTGAATGCTGCTACCACAACTGTACCAAAATGTTCTAGCATGTGCGTTTTGTGTTAAAAGCCAGTTGCCTCTTACTTTCGATATAGCAGTTTTGTTGATTCATGTTATTTAAATGGGAGGCTAAGTTTTTATTCCTGAATTAGGCTCAAGCTGATTGATGATGGGTAGTTTCCATCAGAATTGTTGATCGAGTGGGACAGTTTGAATGTCCTTAAAACATGCTGTCCACTGCGTTAAGATGCAGAAGAGTAATTATGTTTGTCTCACTAGTTTTCTATTAACGAGTTTCCTCATTCAGCCGTGATGTGTTTAGTGGCTTTAAAAAGCAGTACTGCAGAGGTGATGGTGTGTTTAATCTGTTTATTGAGACCACACAGTGGCCAGTAATTTGATGTAAAGAAATCAGAATTGGCTATAAAAATCTATGATTGCTTCCCTAGATTAGTGATAACTTTATAAAAATGTTCAGAAATAGGATGAATAATCTAATAATATTCTTACGACACAACAAGGAGAAATATTACATGCATTGCCCCCATAATACCTACATTTGAGATGCTTTCTCTTGCCAAGATATCTATTTTTGCAGTGTAGTAATAGTAGTAATAAGTCAAATAGCCTGGACTTGTGGTGTAATGTTGAAGGCCTTTCACTGCATCATTTCCCAAAACATTCCCATGGAGAGATAAGTGTCAAAACGTCTTCATGATTCTAATACTCCACAAGTCTAGTCACCTTCTAGACAGCTCATTGACCAGGCTGACTGAAAACTTTTACTTGCCATTATTCCAGAAGCTTGTATCCAACCAAAATCAACCCAGATTAATAAATTCTTTACAGGTTTATCTCTAATCTGAACTCCAAAGTTCTTGCGTTTTGTGTGTCATAGTGAACTGAACTGTTTTTCAGGTGTTCTGTTTCTGGCTGTAATAGTATTGAATTCTGTTTGTCTGCAGTCTCTGTTTGTCTCAAAATAGCTTTTAATCAAGATACATTTTAGGTTTTATAAGTAATATATACAAAAATATATTGAGTATGATTGAAAGTTTGACAAACTTGGGACCCGTTATAGGAATCTACCAAAGTATTAAAATCCCCTACTGGATTTGGCCTCATATTTAGTGATGCTTGTTTAAAGCAGTGCTTGCCTGCTTCCTCAAGATGTTCTAAAAGATGACTTGAATGGACCCAAACGCACAACTGCCATAATGTTTGGTTACTCCAGAACACTAACATTTCTCTGATATTAAACATTTTAGCACTTGAAAGCCTGTACTGTATGTGGTATGTTGTACAGCAATGTCTGATAATCTGTTAGATTTTTATTTTAGTCTAATTTGTGATGTCAAACTTGACCTGTAAAGAATATTGTAATTAAACATTCAGTCCACCAGTTTTCTGACTGTTGGGTCAGTTTACTATGCTTTACGTTGGTTAAAGATAATAAAGAGGTGCTGAAAGTGTCTGGTGCTTTTCCAGAGATAAATTCTGGATACAGAAATATGTATGATTTTTGCAAACTGTACCCACCTTTCTCCTCATGTTCCTACATAATAGTTCCTGATTTCTCTGGACAAACACTGCATCAGTCACCCCTTCTCTCTGCAAGGTTTGGTTTAGCCCAGCCCAGCCCAGTCCCTGGTGCTGGAGGTTGCTAGAATGTGCCTTTTATATGGAATGAGGATATCAATCTGATTCGTTGAGATGCTCTGCAGGAGGATTACATTATTACAGCAGTGAATGGGCTTTGATATGAGCAGACAGAGTCAGCTGTGGTAAACACAAGTGTGAGGACTGTTGAAAGAATACATAAGTACATTGAACCTCCTTAGGAGAGATATTCCAGTTAGGTAAATAGACCAGAAACCAGTACAGGACAGTCATCATGACCAACAAGGTAAGCTTCTAAAGACTCTTGACACACCTATATGCTTACATCTGCTGGTCTGCCTTAGTATCTGTTTCATTTAAATGATGTAACTGGTCCAAATGATTGTGTAATGTCTGTATTCTCTGAGGCGCTATTCTGCTCTCTTCAGTTTCATTTTACTGCGGGGAGCCCAGCAGGGTGTGGTTATGATGACTCGCTCGGGAGCGCCCTCTAGAGTCTGATGAACCCAAAACACATTACTGAGTGGCAATCTCCTCTACAAATTCTCTGATGATACATTTGCCAGAGAATTTGTAGAAAGAATTGCCACTCAGTAATGTCTTCCAGGTTTGTGAAACACTAGGGGGCGCTCCCAAGCGAGTCCAAAATAAATGGGCTAATGTGGAGCAGGTCAGACAGCTCGTCCCACCGCCGTCTTTTAAAGCTCAAAGCGTAAACTTCGTCTCCTCTGCAGACCAGATTCCGCTCCCACCATGTTGAACGGTATAGACCACTGTAGTCGTGCGTCATTCTGCAGTCCTCGTTATGCCCATATGAGGAACTCCGGGTCTGAGCTCCATTTCTCTATGGCGAGAATGAATAGGGTTTTCGAAAAATCGCCTCTATCGCCCCCTGTGTTAAATAAAAATGTTCAGAACACGATACGTTTTGTTCTGTGAACATTTTTCTCTCGAATATCACTGGATCCTCTGAATTACGAGGTTGTTAAAGAGCTATAATACTAATATTGCTATATGCGAGCTAAAGCTACTGATTTTAAATTTGATGTCAATTTGATGTCACTAAGCTACACGAAACTAAGGTATCTGTGGTATCTTATCAAAATGTTCTACTGTCGCGCATAATTACAGGTAAATCCGTAAATAAAACCTCTATGTAGAATATTTTGATAGTCTAAAACTCCTTGTCAAAAATACTACCCGTGTTAAAACTAAGAGGCTAAATTTAGCTAGCTTCTTTTTCACAGCTTCTTGTTTGAATATTCCCGTTCCACCTTAAATAGTGCAGCAGCTGTGACTAGCTATCACAAACATTAGCAAACGAGACAAAATACTGACCTGTCGGTTCTGTGAAACAGCTAACAATAAGTTAATGTTACTCAGCTGTTAAGTGAAAATACAGAAACCTCCTCATATCAGGCCTTTCAACCCTCCATGAAGCTGAAGTCAGCGTCTTTTTCGCCGGCTGCTTGTTCGAATTTTCCCGTTCCACCTTAAATGGCGCAGCAGTTCAGAACGTGGCTGCTGGGCCATTTAAGGTGGAACGGGAAAAGTCGAACAAAAAGCTGGCCAATGTCCTCAGAAAATGTTACCAGCATTAAAATAATAATTAGGATATTCCGAGAGCCTAAATCAGTTTATCAGGGGGTGACAAGCTGCTTAAGGAGGCTGCCAGTCTAATGACATGAATTCAGTGCGCAGTAGCTTTAGCTCACATGTAACAATATTCATATTTCAACACTTTAACAACCTCGTAATTTAGACGATCCAGTGGTATTCCAGAGAAGAATTGTAATATAAAAGGGTAAGGCTGAGCGCAGTAAGCTAGCCTAAAGCAGCCTAAGCCACAGTCACATCAGAACTGTTTCATCATGGCTTCATTTCACACAGAGTTGCTGGAGACCGCATGGTCTTCTGGTCTTGAGGAATGTGAAGCAGTACTGAAAGTAATGGGACCTGAGAGAGACTTTCAGAACTTAAAAGCAGCCCAACACTAACCAAGTAAACAACATAATGTTGTAGGTAATGATGGTGATGAGTGCTGCAGGTGATGGTGTGCAAATTCATAAGTATTCATACACATTACTGTGCATGTTTATTATCATGTGTTTGCAGGTTTCGGCAACAAGCAAGTTAAACGACTTGGTCCCTCCAAGCTATGAGCAGGCCACTGCAGGTAACTGTATGGAGAATTTCTCCTTCTTGTAGAGTAACTGCAGTTGCAATAAATTCATAAGTACTGAAAGCAGTTCTCCAAATGAGCTTAATTCTCTTTATGATTGGCTGTCTGCCATAATAGGGGTGGCTGCATTCTTGTGCCCCTTGTGGTCACCCCTTACTACAACCAAATCTCAACTTGGGAATATAATACTTAACATTTTTGTGTATAAATTTTTTTTGGATTTGAGACAGACATCTCCCAATAGAAAGTACTCTATATATTTTTTTTATTTTATTGTATTTTTTAAACCATGGGTTTAAACTAATTCAGTGGTTTATATATCGCTGTTGTCGGAAGAAAACCTCGTACCTCCAAAAAGGTGACTTTACAGGAAAAGGGAAAAATCTGCTTTACTTTTAATCTAAGTCAATGAAACCAGACTTTTTTCCATACATATATTGTAGTTTATGGCTGTTTTCACTGGTAATTAAAGAAATATTGCACTACATATAAGAGACTATATATATATATATATATATATATTATATATATATATATATATATATATATATTCTTATTATTAAAGAAACATAGATACTGAAACATGTTGCAGACCATTGCCAGTCTCAAAGTCAGAGGAAAACAGGCAGGCCTTAAGACAGGATTGGAATGAAACATATTTATTTTGTTTTTTAGGACAAAAAAGGAAATGTAGAGAAAGAATAAAAACCCAAACAAAAAGATGAAGGCTTAACAAGCACATTAATTGTGATGTTTTTAAGGTGGAAGCCCCAGTCACAGTGGCAGTTATCCTGGTGATGGAGACATGTTAGCAGAGTTCTGCTGGGACGACCAGAACATTAGACGGATTTTCATTCGAAAGGTATTAAAGAAGTACAGCTCCATTTGTAGGTTGCTGCTGGTTAAAGTTAACAGTGATCCTCTGTTCTTTACTGATGGTAATGTGTATGTGCAGGTGTATGCCATCCTTTCACTGCAGCTCTCCTGCACTCTTGCTGTCGTCGCTCTCTTCACCTTTTGGTGAGTGGCTTAGGAGTTCAAGTGAAACATGCCTTTAGTAATCATGTCATATTCCCATACCTCATCTACAAATTCTGACAGATATTTTCCAACACTGACTCTGAAGACCGTAAAATTAACTTGTTGTTCAGTTACTGAGTTGTGTATAAGTAGAATTCACGGCTATATTAATTTAATCACCCTCTGTAATATAGCACCATTCTGAAGTATGTTAACACCTCAGCTAGCCGGGCTAAAGTACAGCTTCTACATGGCAGGGAGAAAAAAAAACATACTGATAGACACTAGTGTCTGTGTGCTGGTTCGAGTCGCCCTCTAAAGCCTAAAATAATAATTTAAAAGTCAGAGTCGTTGGGGCAGATTTCACGGGAGTCATACATCTTTACATAATCCGGCTTGATGTTTAGGTCTGAAATACAAAATTACCATTATACTGATGAAGATATGATGACATTAGTTGATAATTCACCTCCTCAGAAGACACATCCTTCACCAAGTTTTGACTGAGTTCTCTTTCAATTCTCTTTCAAATCACACACAATCATCCGATTCATCTGCTCGAGGAAGGGGTCCGAAGCACAACCCACAATACAAAACATTCATTTATACCTTGCCAGCAATCACACATTTCCACCAGAGAGGTCTCCAAATCCCCAAAACATACGTAGTGCTCAAATAATAAAGAAATCACAACATCAGGTTGTGTCACACTCTTTCTGGCAGAAGAAATTTTTATTATAATTAAATTTACTTATTTATTCAATACTAGTTTCTTTTATACTGTTGCAGTTAATTACTGTTTTATTTGACACATCAAGCCGACAAAACAACATGCCTTAAAGGAGAAGTTTAGCCAAACATGCTAATGTTGCTAACAATGAATGGAATAAAAAAAAAAACTCCAGTTAGCATGAGGTCATTTTCATAATGCTAACTTCGCTTTCATTCACTGTTAGCAACATTACTGACTGAATCATTCCTTTGAAAATCAATTGTAACACGCCTTAATATCTCTCTCTCTCTCTCTCTCTCTCTCTCAGTGATCCAGTAAAGGAGTACATTCAGTCCAACCCTGGCTGGTACTGGGCTGCATAGTAAGTAACTTTATGCATATATATGTATATATATATATATATATATATATATATATATATACTTAGTTAGTTAGTTATTAGTCATGGTTAGTTTATCTATAATCCACATTTATGCATTTTATCAGATGCATTTCATCCTATTGCTGTTTTGTCACACCCTCCTGATAAAACAACACCTCTTTAAGGACTAGCTCCAGCAAACATGCTATTGTTGCCAACAATAAATGGAAACTAGTGGAAATTAGCATGATGTCACTTTTATAATGCTAAATGACAGTTATTCGTTTCCATTTATTGTTAGTAACATTAGCATTATTAACTGAACTATTCCTTTAATATAGGTCAAGTATATTTAGAAAGTACAAGACCAAAAACTAATTAAGAAAACAATGCGAAATTAAGAAAATTAAGAAAAAAAAAATGGTCATTGGGTGAAATGATAAGAAACTGAAATAACAAAAGCGGCATTAAATAATACAATTCAGGACAATAATTAAATAAAACATAATTTGCAGATGACACACAGTAAAATAGAGAAAAAATAAATAAAAAAAATTACAATATTAGTGTAGCACGGCATGTGCTACCCCAGGCTCAAAGAGGACCCTGGAGGCAGGGTTCAGTGTTGCAGCAGCCATATTTTATTTCCCAAATAAACACAAAGCAAACAAAACCAAATAATCAAAGCTCTGCTAAGCTGGCCACTTTTCAGTGGCTTTCAACTAACTAGACTTTTCAGTCTTTTTACTCAAGCTTTTCAGCTCTTCAGTTCTCTGCTGCTGCTTGTCCCTCTCTCCGCCCCCTCCCCACTCGCGGCTCTCTACCTGCCGTCTTGGCCGAGGTTCGCCGCCGCTGGGTGTTCGGGCCCCGCCTTCCTGCCGGCTCTCACGGCCGTCATCGTTGGGGCCCGGGGGCGGGCACATCCCGCAATCAGTTTAGTGCTTCCTTCATTGATGGTGTCAGTAACTGGTTTTGACTGTGTGCTGAATCCATGCAGAATGTTGAAACAGTTCACTGAACCATGTCTATTTATTACCACGCAGTGTGGTGTTCATAGCAACGTACTTGACGCTCTACATCTTCGCTGGACCGAGGTGAGCTGTGTGCAGTAACATGCGCGAATATGCAGCTGTGTCATTGCAGATACTGTACTTTGACTGTAGATGTCAATCACTTAATACAATGAGTGGCAGACTGGGCAGGCGGACTGGGGGAGCCCTAAGTATGGGATCATTAATTGTACTGGGGCCAGTGGCGTGGTGTGGGGAAGGGGGTTTCCCTGCACTTAGTAAAAGAACAGAAAAGATGTTGACTCAAAACACACTTCTGCTAAGAACAATCCAGGTCAAATTAGATGTTTTATTGATTTTCAAACTGGAAATAACTTTACACATCCTCTCCAGTGAGAGTGCACAACTCTGGGCCTGGAAGACCAGTGTCCAGTACAAAACAGTAACAAAACAGCCAGAAGCCTGCTGAAAAATGAATAAGGGCACTTCAACGTTTACTTTTGCTACTGTAAGCTTTAGAAAACAACAAATTTGCAACAACAAAATGTGCCCTACACAAATGAGTGAGCTAGACATGCTGCCCACTCAATTAGGTCACCATGGTGATGACCAGCTCGTGTGTGCTGCATGGATGTTTTTGCAAAAGCATTTTTTAATTACTACAGTGACTATTAGACTTTTTATAAGACTACTGATTTTTTTCATTATTATGCCATTCATTTGCACTTTTTATAGTTAAGTGTAAACCCAGTTTCAGAAAAGTTGCGACAATGCAGATAAAAACAGAAAACAGTGATTTGTAAATCTACTTTGACCTGTATTTTAACAAAAAAGATATGTAAAAAGTATGTGATGTGATCAAGTGATGTGATCTTATCAAGTTCATTGTTTTTTTTTTTTTGTAAACGACTCACTCTGATACTGATGCCTGCAGCATTTCCCAAAAAAAGTTGGGATGTAGGCAATTTGAGACTAGGAACTTTGTGAAATGTTAAAAAAAAATCTAAACAGGTCATGCAATCATGCTTTATATAGATATAAAAGAAGCATTCAGGAAAGGCAGAGTCCTTTATGAGCAAGGATGGGTCGAAGCTCAGCGCTTTGCCAAAAATCCATCAGCAAAAATCCAACAGTTTTAAAATAATGTTTCCTCTGTGGTGCATAATATCATAAAAAGATTCAGGGAATCCGGAGAAATCTGTGTGCAAAGGCCAAGGCAGAAAACCACAACTGAATGCACAGTGGAAATGTGTATTGTTCTGTAATGAAACAACCTTTTAGATCGTTTATGAAAATAATGAATGTTGTGTTCTTTGCATCATAGGACTATCCAGATTGTTACCAACATAAAGTTTAAATGCCAGGGTCTTTCATGGTATTGCGGGGTATTGGTGGATAAATTGCACATCTGTGAACATTAACACTGAAAACATTTTGAGCAACATATTCTGCCTTCTAGATGACATTTTATTCAGGGACACCTATGCATATTTCAGCATGACAACACCAAGCCACATTCTGCATGTGTTAAATCAGCATGGCTGTGTAAGTAGAGGGGTTCAAGGACAGGTGATGTAACACAGTAATAAATGTGCTCCTGTACCAACTTTTTTGGAATATGTTGCAGGCATCAAATTTGGAACGAGAGTATATTTACAAAAAACAATGAAGTTCATAAAGTAAAACATCAAATATTGTGTTTTTGTACTGTTTTCAATTGAATGCAGATCAAACTGAATTTCCTTCTCACAGCTTTCTGTTTTTATTAGAATTTCACATACTGTCCCTACTTTTTTCATTAGTTACTTTAAAATGTCTACTTCAGCATTTCTCTGATAACTTACTTTACTTAAGTCATTTTCCAGAAAAGTATATTTACTTTTGCTCCTGTATGACTATCAGGTCCTTTATACAGTACTGCATACAACAAATTGTATTACTGAACTAGTGAATATTTCTACTGTCCCATTTTCACTTTGAATTCTTGCTCTATCTTTACCATAGACGCAAGTTTCCATGGAACATGATTCTGCTGTCAATCTTTGTGAGTACTGAAACAACTTTAAATCATTTCACTCTCTGCTCTATTAAACATTAACATTACAAACATTACAAAAAGTCCTTTCATCAGACTGTACATTGCTCCACAGGAATAAGTAAATCTGTAGAGGAGGCAATGAAAACTCAGTCTAATGCAAGGCTTTTCATATATATTCAGTGTTATTTTCTCCCATTTCCAGACTGTGGCTCTTGCTTTTATGACCGGAGTCATGTCCAGGTACATTGTCCAGCAGATTGCATGTGTCATGTTTCAAGTCCTTCTAACTCTCTGTTTGTGTGACTGTGGCCTGCTTATTGGGTTTAGTGTTCAGGTAATTCAGCGTGTTCAATGTGCTCCCTAACAGCATGGCTAAGACTTTGGGCATTGCCATAAGTCTTACTTCATTACCATTACTTTGCCTTGGAAATGATTTTTTCTTAAAATGTATAAGTCTATAGTTCTATTTGTAAACAAAGTCATCATTCAGATTGTTTAAAGTGGTGAAATCTGTGGCTGTGATGTCTACAATGCCAACACTGTATATGCCAAATTTCTGCAATGCAAATTTTATTCATTGTGCAAAAATGAGAGAGCATCCTTCATTTATTTAATTTCCAGTTAAAGCAGCCATTAAGTACAAGCTATGTTTTGGTGTCAGGAGGAAAAAAAGCAGAAAACATACATTTAACAGACAATTACAGAAAACTTCAACAACTAAATGTAATATAAATTTTTTAGAAGACTTGCTTTCAGTTTTTCAAAGAATTCTGCAGGGATATTGTCCTACACCTCCAAAGTTCGGTCTTAAAAGTTGGTTGCATTTTCTGCTTCTCATGATCCCAATTACAAATTTAGACCCATCGGTCCAGAAAACCTTATTCCATTTCTCAGGTGTCCACTTTCGATGTTCTAGTGCAAATTTATTGGTCTCTCTCCTTTTCTCAGTAACAGCTTCTTGACAACTGCACATCATTTCAGACTCAACGTGTTGTCTTCTCACAGTGGAAGGATGGACAGAAACACCTGTGGATTTGAAGCAGATCAGAAGCAAGACAAAAGCTTTCTCATAGACAAAAGCTTTAAGTGCTGTTTATCTGATGGGGACAGTTTTGGTGTCTCTTTTGTCTCTTACAATTGTTAGTAGCCTCGTCTTCTGAGTATGCCCTTCCAACTTGCATGTTTAAAAGATTTCTGTGCCAAAACTACCAAAAAATAAATGTCTCAGGCATCAGGCAACATATTCATAAATTTTTGTGTTAAAACTTTTTGTGAGGGAGCTTTTAGAGGCTTTAAACACTTCAGACGTCTGGTTCCTATCACCACCATTGTGAACAACTCTGACTCTGTAAGTTTCTCTAAAACAAGCATTTCACATCAAACCACTCTGAATGACTTTGTTTACATCTTACTGATTTTATTACATAGAAAGTCATAAAAATCAGTTGAATTCCACCTGAAGGGATGTTGCTTTACCCTGTGTGTGTGTGTGTGTGTGTGTGTGTGTGTGTGTGTGTGTGTGTGTGGTGAAGCTTGCTAATTATTTACAAGGGCTGTTTGTCTTTATCGTGTGCACATTTTTACTCTTCCTTCCACAGTTACTTCAACACCAAGTCCGTAATGATCTGTTTGGGTATTACAGCTTTCATCTGTCTCTCCGTCACCATCTTCAGCTTCCAGACCAAGGTGAGTATGAGATCTTTCCTGTTTGCGTGCTGACTTTGACTCTGATTAGAATCTAATTACTACACTCTTAAAAAAAGAAGGTTCTTCAAGGGTTCTTTAGTAATGGAAATGGTTCTATATAGACCCATGAACACTGAAAGAACCATGTGCATGATTAAAATCTTCTTTGTGGATTTTTTCTTCAGATTGATAGAAAAAGTGCTATATATGGTTCTATATAGAACCTTTTTTTTAAATGGGCTCTATATAGCACCAAAAAGGGTTCTTCTATTGAGATGTCAAGCTTGTAACAATAGAAGAACCATTTTTGCTGCTATATAGAACCCCTTTCAACTAGGTCCTTTCATGATGCAAAGAACACTTCAATCATGCATATGTTTTTTTGGTGTTCATGGCTCTATATAGAACGATTTTCTTTATTAAAGAACTCTTAGAGAACTGTCTTTTTAAAGTGTGTACAACTTAAATGACCTATTCATGCTCAACCCACAAATATGTTCTTTCACAGCAACTGTTGCTAATTTGGACAGAACATTAGCAAAAAACCTGAGCAGTTTTAACACATTTTGTTTTTTGTCAAAACTACATGCATTTAGACTAATTTATTACAAACAAACTAAAAAAACTGATGAGCCACACGAAAGGAAAATGGCTAAAGTTAAGCCACCAAGTTAAGTTTGGTTAAAGAAATACTTTTTTTTGTTAAAAACCAAATTTACATGGTTATCCACTTAACCCATATGCAGTCTATCAGTTAAGACATGTTTAGTGTCCAAATTTTGCTTCTTTAGTTTAGAACTCTAGTCACCCAAAGCATTTCCATACATACATACAAAAATCTTCATATATTTGCTTTAAATTATGTTGATAGGCTACATAAAATTGTTTAGAAAAAATGATGTAGTAAATTTGCATGGGAAGATGTTATGTAAAAATTTAAGCTGAAGTTGGAATTTCATTATCATTTGTATAACGCCCTGCTTTCCAGTCCTGTTTCACTTTCAAACTCTGGGAGGCTGTAGAGCAGAGGTGTGTCATAAACAGTAACATCCAAGGCTTGCTTACTGTAAGAGAGTTAGAATTTTCACGTTGAATAACAATAAACCTACAAAAATGAGGTGTTGTGGATCTATGGTATCGCTTTATTGATTTCCTAGACATATTTAATATGTGTTTTTGGCAATGAACTGCAACCTAGAAAGAGAGAAGTTCATTACCATGCAAAATCTCCATATATGTGGTGACCATTTTTCACGGTTTCCAGCAGAATATCCTCATTTTTATGGATGACACCTCAAAGAAGTGATTACTTTTTTTTTCCCTCTTCGTCTTCATACGTAGCTAAGAAGTGGTCCAGGGAGTCACTGGTGGGTCCAGTATGCAACAAATAAATTTCTTTGTGTATATTCAGATTCAAACATACACAGTTCATTTGTATAATTTTATAATAGACGCTTGATTTTTTTGAGTATGCTCACTCTTGCTGTGAATTCCCTTAGCCCTGTCTTTCCAAATCCAGACTTATCCATCGGACTGCCAAACAGAGTCGTGTTATTCATCACTCCACAGAAAACGTTTCCACTGCTCCTAAGTCCTGCAGTGGCGTGCTTTACAACACTCCATCTGACGCTTGGCATTGTGCTTGGTAATGTAAGGCTTTCATACAGCTGCTCAGCCATGGAAACCCATGCCATGAAGCTCACAGCGCACAGTTTCTGTGCTGATGTTAATGCCAGAGGAGGTTTGGAACTCTGCAGTTACTGAGTCAGCAGAGCGTTGGTGACTTTTATGCACTATGCGCTTCAGCGCTTGGTGACCCGCTCTGTAACTTTACATCCTTTCTTTTCTTCCTTTTCGTGGCTGAGTTGCTGTGGTTCCTAAGCGCTTCTGCTTTTCAATAATGCCATTCATAGTTGATCGTACAGTATCTAGGAGGGAAGAAATTTTGCATACTGATTTGTAGTAATGGTGGCATCCTATTACAGCACCACGCTCGAATTCAGTGAGCTCTTTAGAACGACCCATTCTTTCCCAAATTTTTGTAAAAGCAGACTGTGTGGCTAGGTGCTTGATTTTATGCACCTGTGGCAATGAGGCTGAATGAAACACCTGAATTTAGTGATTAAGAGGTGTGTCCAAATAGTGCAGTTCATAGTAAGTCAAACTGTGTTCTAAACCACATGGACTTGTCTGTGTGACTGAAATTAAGACCTGGATGTGCAGGTTGAAAGAACTTCTGTGTATGTATTTATGGAAACGATTTGGAAGACTATAGACTTCCAGAGTTTGTTAGCAATGTTAGCCTACCAGCACCAGCTCTAAACCAAAGAAGCAGAATCAAAACATTGCCTATGAATTGTATTAACCTGACATACAAGTCTGTTAACAGTCAGTATTTTCTTTGACAGATTGACCTGACCTCAGTCTGGGGCATGTTGTGCATCTCCTGCACTGCTTTGTCCTTCTGGGGACTCCTATTGGCAGTTCTCCTGCTTCCTGGATGTGTAATTTTTCACCTCCTTTTATAAAAGAACATCTTGATAATGTTGTTTGTTATATTCAGGCTGCATCTTAACTGTGTTTCGCCTGGCTTGCAGGTTCCTTGGATGCAAGCTGTGTTTGCCGGGTTGGGAGCGATACTGTTTTGCTTGGTAAGGCTCTAGCATGAAGTGTAGTGATGGCCTATTCAATGCTGTGACGTTAATGCTGTGGCCACTTTATGAAGTCCACACAGAGCCAGTTTATGGGGAGCCTGTCCACTTCCTATTTCTCCAGTTATACCAAATTCATGACTCCAAAATGCTAGAGCAAAGAAAAGTGCGACCCGTGGGTCAATGTTGGACAGCAAGGACATTTAATTTGGTCCACCAGAAAGCTGCCCAACCTCCCTACTCCATCATGTAAATGAGAAAATACAAATATTACACTTTGGCACCCCAAGAAAAAGGTTTGGGCAGTTGTGCTAGAAGGCATCCACATGCAAATCCTCAATGAATGCGGGTGAATGGAGCTAAACGAACTAACTTACTTTAATTTTGTAAAGTAGAAGGTTGTATTCCATTTAAAAAAAACGAAAACATAAAATCGTCTTTCCATTTTTCCATAGCAAACATGTTTTGGGCAGTGGGGATGCTAGCATTACTGCTACAGAGTGCTGATTGGTTGGTATTATTGCTACTGAGAGCTGATTGGTTGGCATTACTGCTACTTAGAGCTGATTGGTTGCCATTACTGCTACTGAGTGCTGATTTGTTGGTGAGCTGATCAGCTCATTGGCCGAATGAAAATGTTTTGCATTCACTGACATCATGTATATACATGAGGCATCGCTAGAAAGTCCTATAACTGTATTTGAAAAGTGCTCAGAATTATAACTGCAGTGTTGAAATATTTCATGCTGTTTTGTCTTGAAAAAAAATTAGTACGTTTGTCTATATAAAAATGCTTAATCATATACAAACTACAATTTTGCACAAAAGATCTGTCAGAACCCATTCATTTTTTAATTCGCTCAAGAGTGCCTTCTAGCATCTCACAAACCCGGAACATATCGAGAGGCCGTTCTCCTCAATACAAATTCTCTGGTGTACTTACTTTATGCAGTCATATACAAAAATGTGGGCATCTGGTTAAATTGCACGTTTTGTTGATTTTCTAGGTGAAGATAAGTACATCATCTACAGAGAACACACCTCTGCACAATTTAATGCACAATTACTGTTTATTTACTCACTTTAATGTATTGGAAAAAAAGAGAACATAAAATTTGGCTTGTGCACAAGTTATGGCACATTTTCTATCCATCCATCCATCTGAGGGTGCTGGAGCCTATTCCAGTGTTCATCGGGCAGAGGGCAGGAAACTCACAGGGCAGACACACAGACATATAGAATCACACACAGGTTCACACCCAAGGGCAATTTAGCATCTCCAGTTGGCCTGACTGCATATCTTTGGACTTAGGGAGGAAACCAGGGAGAACATGCAAACTCCACATAGAAAGGACCCTGGTCGCCCAGCCGGGGAATTAAACCCAGGCCCTTCTTGCTGAGAGATGACGGACAATTTGCACTTAAATTTGTAGAAAATGCTATATTTAAGTTTGTTTCATGTAGAGGATGTGTTATTTTCATTCAGAAAATCAACAAAACATGCAAGTAGATCGGGGTGTCCAAACATTTGCATACGACTGTAAGTCCACGATAAAGGTGTACAGACTGTAGTCCATCATACAGAGTTTGTGAACTACCCGCTCAACCTTATTCTTCACCAGTCAGTTGTTGACCCCAGGGCCACAGTTGACCAGGTATTATTTGGGTGGTTGACCATTCTCAACACAGCAGTGACACTCCCATGGCGTGGTAGTGTGTGTGGTGCTAATATGAATGTATCAGACACAACTGTGGTGCACAAGTTTTTACATAAGTGTTAATGAATAGCTCGTGAATGGTCTGCCACCCAAAAATGTTCGGCCGAGACGACGCTGTGGACAGAAACTGACCACTAATCAAGTACTAGAAGATGGCTGACACATATTGTGCATCAGCAGATGGGCTATAGCTTATAAGTGTACACCAGTAAGGTGGACTCTCAAAGGGGTTCTAATAAAGTGACCAGCAAAAGTATGCTGTCACTTTTAGCTATTGCTAATGGTTGTCTTGTTTGCTTCCAAGTTTCTGGCTTTCGACACACAGCGAATGATGGGGAAAAAGCGTTACATCATAAGCCCAGAAGAGTACATCTTTGCAGCTCTCAGCATCTATCTGGACATAGTGTACATCTTCTCCTTTATCCTTCTGTTGTGTGGAATGCAGGACAGGACCTGACCATAAGCTTTCTGCCAACTCTTCACATGAGCTCCGGCCTTCCTCCTTCTATCTCCGGTCCTTCTCACCAGTCTGAGCAATTCTGTCCACTACAGCATGGCCCAGCTTGTCTTGTGTGTCCTGTGTTAAGCTTTTCCTCTGCTCTGCTGTGCCACATCTGTATTCCATAGCAACTAGGATTACATCTGTGAGAGATGCAAGTTTAATGTTGTTTTAAACCAAAGAGACCAAGTGGCACAGTACACAGTACTGCTTTAATAATGGTTATGAAACTGAAGCACTCTTCTGATGTATGACGTTAGCAGTGAAACTGAGCATTTAAAGGCATGACACTCTATATTTCTCTGTGAAATATATCAATAAAAAAGCATAAAGCTCCACTAGAGGAAATTCATCACAATCAGAAATCACTGGGACGTTTTAAAGCTGAATTCACCTCCATCTCTGCTCAGACCTCATGTTTGATCTTGGTGCATGTTGACACGACATGTGAAGAAACTATAGAAACTCTTGTTCAGACGTCTTAGTGGACACTATGTGTTTGCTGCTTATTCTTTTTATGCAATTTTTCTACCTTATTTTATGGCCAGATCCCCCCTCCTTCTATCACATGATACTTGCAAGCTGGACAGGTGAGGGCTAGCAACATCTTAGCACAGTTCTATGCACTTGGAGGAGAACACTAACCCCCAATTCTTTTATGCTAACTAGACTCTCTTTGCAACAAAAGTAGCTCATGCTGCCATCAAGCTTGGACTTGCATGCACAGAGGTTTGCACACACGCAGTGTACATACTACTAAACTTGCATAAAAGGTTGATGTTTGCTCGTGTAGTGGTGCAGCCAAACATGCTGCCTTTAGGCTGGAGGAGAAGAAGTTATCCTGTGGAAAGAATTTAGCTAGTTGACATGGAAAAGACCTCAGGTACTGTTTACGTTCTGAATAGTGACCGCTGAGAATCATTTTTTTGTCTTGAGAATTGCTGTAACTTTACTTTGACAGTCATCTATCCAACTGGGCTGTACAACAAATCATGGGCGTCACTAGGCCAGTTTTAGCGGGACTTTAGTCCAGTTTTAGGCACTGCTGCTGCTGTGATGCAGCACTGCCTCTGCTGAGCTACAAGAGATTTACTAATGTAATGTGAAAAGTGGAACCCCTGGCTTGGCCAATGATATCAGAGGTTGTAAGTTGTAAGCCAATCATATCAGAGCTGGGGGGAGGGTCTCTGATTTAACTCACTCTGCAAATTAACATCGGTCGGCAGCCGCTGAAGCTGAAGGTGGGATTTTGGCTAAAAGCTCACTAAAATAAACGGATAAGAAATAAAGTGTACAGAGTGAAACAGTAAGTAGTTACTGAGAATATATTTGTCACTATGATCAGGAAATTCTGTCACCTAGCTTATTAAATCTCACTCTTTCTGACTGCACCAACTGAGACTGAACTGATCCATAATCTTTGTGTTTGAATAATATATTTAGGACTTTGCAGCTTATCTGAGAGAGAGGAGGGTGTTGCTTGACTTCACTACCTTTGCTTGATCTGTGTCTGTTGTAAGTGGATGGATATAATATTTAAGCAATACTAGCTCTGTGCTTAATACAAAGACATACAAAAAGACCAAATAGCAATACCAATTTGACCAAATAGCCATTTTTTCATAAATTTTCTGCCTGTTGCTACTGAACATTCATGATGAACAGACATTTTGGGGCCATTCAAAAAATTTGTGGAGTTTCATGCCCCCAGACCCACCTAATACAGGCATAGGCCCCCATACATAAACCTCTAGTGACACCCCTGCAACAAACACAACAGCACAAAGAAAGCAAACAGGAGTATGTTCATAGACATGATTGATTTTTTTATTAGGCAAACTGTCTCGGTCATTTAAAAGCTAAGGGAAACCTTTTAGCCACTGTGGATTGAATCAGTATATGAGCTAATGCTACAGCTATCAGTTCAGTGTTAGATGAGGGGTGGTTTTCTACACAAAGTAAATTACTTTCTTTTCCATGAATAATGTGGAAACGTTGGCTTGTTGAGGTAATGATGAGAACAGCAACTTCAGCTGTCATTGTTAGCCCAGCTGCTCTAAGTTACGTCAAACTACTCAGTCGTGTCTGTGGCATGTTAGGACATTGTGTTTCATAGTATTGCTAGCAATATAAAATAATTTACAGTAGTAAGATAGTAGTAAGTAGTAAGTAGGGACTGAAGTGCCAGTTTATTAGTTACTCCAACACTGTAGGCCAAGCGCAGAGATGTAACTACAGTACCGTGGAATAACCGTGTCAATTCTTTTCTGCGTCAACTTTTAACATCTGCAGTTCCACAGGTGGGACATTAACCCTGCGAGAATCTCACATCAGCTTTTGACAGCCTCAACTATTTTTGTTACATTGGTTTGGCTAGCATCACGCTGACTGATGGGGGGAGAGAGGGCAATAAATATGTGAAGGGAAAGGAAGGGGGAGCTCAGAAGGGCTAGTAGCCTACTAAGTTGTTTGGGAAAGCCAAAGTTAAAGATTCTTCTTATAAGTAGAAAACAACAGTGGCGTAAAATACATGGTAATAAGTAATAGAATATATGAAGTGACTTAAATTTACCTATCTTACCTAACTTTATCCCCTACCAGTGCCTGGTTACACCTGAAACGAGCACCTGGAATGCATAATGGAATAATGTCAAACAGTTGGGTTTCTTTATTAAAGTCTTTAAAACAAGTCTTATCATCCCTTTTTATGTTATTTAAAGAGGCAGTCCATAAGCAAAAGGTGAGAGCTGTTCACAGCTCCTTGGTTCAAGTCCAGGGGGTGATGAAATGCACACAGCCGAATTAACCCACAGCAACAGACAAATGTAGCAGCAACTGTATTAATAAAATAAAGCCAGTCCACACTACTACACAGTGTTTAAATGTCCATAACTTGAATTAAACAGCACTTAAATAACATAGGAACAGATGACCAATTATGTGGGGGGATGTGGCAAGTTGCGATCCCCCCATGACCGTTCCAACGTCATACGCTTTAGGTCTGCACACATCACTTCCAGCTGCTGTGGTTCCACACTGCACCATGGTCTCCGGTCTCTCCAGCAAATAAAACACTCTTATTATTAGCTCACTCAACCCCAAAAAACCTGCATGCAGGTTTATATTATAGTAATACAATAACTGCAGAAAATAAGATTTTGTCAGTAAACAGTTCATTTTTACTAAAGCAGAAATCTGGTTATTGCCTGACTCATGTAGACCCAGAGTTGTCCCATTATCTGATTACACAAGTGGCAGTAATAAGATTTCTGCTTTAAACACATATGACAAATATGACATGGCGTAAACAATGTAAAACTCAAATGACATGCTGTGACTCTTGTTTTTTTTTTTAATTTAACTTTACCAGAAAATGCGAAAATACATCACGTTTAAGATGAAGAATATTCATATTCTTCATTTCGTTAAACATCTAGGTGTAGCGTAGGTCCGAAAGTGTGCCATCTTTTGTGTTAAACGCTACTTTCTGTTTCCGGAACGGCAGTCTCTTTTCACACACGAGAAAACCGAAAGAAATCAGAATAAGGGTATACATGTGCTGAAAAACCCAATTACTGAGCTAAAATACAGCTCCCTTTACTGGATTTCGTAATCCTGTCTAAGAAATCGGAGTATGCCGTATACATGACCACTTGAATAATCAGATAACTGCCGAAATCCGATAATGATCAGATTATTAAGTGCAGGTAAGCGCACTCACAACAGATAGCCAGTGCTTTTTTAGGGGAAGTGCCAACGTTCCCTCCAGCGTTGTACGTTTGCAAAGGCACACCACACAGAACAAAATCCAGTTCCAACGCTGTTGTTTCTTTTAGGCAATTTAGCTCCTTCATATTCAATGTGGTGAACTAATTTCAGTGGAAATTTACTAAATGTTGCTAGATATCATGCGTTAATTAGCATATTTGTGACGCCAACGTGTCGTATTTGCATCCTGCCTAGTGTCAGATGATGTCAGCCCTTTATATCTGGTTGCTTCTGTCCTGCTCTCTGTGCTCACATATACTGTATTTTAATACAGCCGAATTCCAAAAAAGCTGTCCTCATTTCCAAACTTACTGTTTAATGCAACATGTTTAAGACAACATGTCAACCAGCAGTTACTTCTAAGCTATTTTCAAGCTGCTGCTCTGCACTAAAAATCAGATTTTATAAACACAACATCATTTGACAAAATCACCATATTGCTGTTGTCGGAAGAAAACCTCGTATCTCCAAAATGGAAGGAAAAAACCTACTTTACTTTTAATGAAAGTCAATGGAAGCAGACTTTTTCCAAGCCATTTTGGGCCGTTTCTTTTAGTCCATTCATCATGAAATTTACATACAATGTAAAGAGCAACAGGTATTTTCAAATTATGTCAAAAACTGGAAAATGTCAAAATTGGAGATACGAGGTTGTCTTCCGACAACAGCGATATGCAGAATTTAAAGACAACAGCTGTGCTGTTAAATAAATTTATATTTGCATGTAAACTGATCCCTCAGAAAGAAAATTAGAAGCGACAGAATATCTTTCTTATTTTTTCTCTCACACAGTTACCCTGTCTGGGTAACAAACCACAAGTAGGATTAAAGTTTAAGTCACTCTGGATAAGAGTGTCCGCAAATTGCACAAATGTAAAATCTGTCTGCTGATCAAATTTCCGTTTGCTCTGAGTTGCAGTGGTTTGATTTTTCTGTCAACAGCCACAGCATTAACATATTCCTCATGAGCATTAGTTCTCTCAACACTGTTCACTTTTTTCACATTAGTAACTTTTCACATCTCTGTGTCTTAATTTACAGTCCAATATATATTTTTACTGAGGAAAGATAGTGAAGAATTTTGGCAGTGTGAGAAATACTTAAAGCACACATAGTCAGGCCTTGACTGTGGTAAGAATGTCCTGCTTTGAGACTTTGACTGTATGATTTCTTTGTTTCCCTTCTTTTGATAGAGAGGAAATAGAACTGAAAGATGATGTAAAGAAAAGTAATAAATATCACATGTTTTATAGTGATTAGTACAGTTCAGTTTGATAGGTTCTTGTGGGCTGCCAGACAGAATGAATGTGAATGTACAGAATAAAAGCCTGATTCATCTTCTCTGAGGCATAAATGAATAATTCCAAACCCAATCCGTGCTTTGTTTCCTTGAGTGTTAACTTCATTATAAACAAAAATACATTTTGCTTGTACTCTATGACTGTGTTTCTCAGCCTTGGTCCTGGAGACCCACTGTTCTGCACTTTTTAGTGTTTTCTCTGCTCCTAAAACACTTGATCCATCTAATCAGCTCATTCACAGCCCATTATTAAGTTGAGGTGGGTATTAAAGCAGGAAAAGCATTAAAATGTGCAGGACAGTGGGCCTCCAGGACCAGAAACACTGCTCTGTGATATCTTTATCTGTCACATTGTTAACAGTTAATGCATAAATTAACATTGAGCACTGGAGTGATAATGAATATCCCAGTGCAAAACCTGTCAGGTACCCACTGGCTGTAAACTTCAATGCAATCACACATTGCTACCAAGCAGAGATGGTGAAGGCTACCATGTGTTCCCTTTGAGACAAATGAAGTGTCATAGCACCTTTTCAAACTGCCACTAATGTAACATCTTTGGACGACTCAACAGGCTTGGAGGAGAACACAAACTGCCAATTCTTCTCTCCCATTTTAACATGTTTTAACAAAACCATGTTCAGAAAAAATGCTTTGATAAAGGTACAGGGCCAGATTTACTGTGACATTAAGAGCAAATAGTGTGGCAGCAACATGAATGAGTAAACAGCTCATTCCTAAATGAGGATCACTTGCATGTTTGAGGCGTGGCTGCACCATTATCTCATGTGCCAGTAGCGATGCATACTTGATACAATCCCACAAAAAATAACACCTGAATCATGCTGTCAGTAATTTTCCCTGGTAAGACGATTATGTGGATCAAATCAGATTTTCTGCATTGTTTCCAAACATGTTTGGTCACACATGCAAGTAATCAACAAGTTATAAATGTTCACCTGCTCAGGATTAAAGAAAGGAAGACAACCAATCAAAAAAAAAAAATTCTCCAAACCACCTACGAATGTTAAGGAAAGATGTGCTGGCAAGTAATAGTACATTTTTTGGTAAGATTTAACATGTAAGATTTCCCACTGGTAAGAGTTAAAGCCTTTTTATAATTCATTATAATTACAGTAGCAAGAATAAAAATGTTAGCTTCACATACGTAAATTAAACTTCTTAAATTGAAAAATAGGATTAAAAGATTACAAGGATTAAAACTTCTTGCAATAAAATCAATTCCATGTAACTAGAACATGTTACTTGTTTGGATTGCAAGCTAAAACTACTTTCCATGGAGATGAGGAGGATTTGCGAAACGTTTGAGGTACAGTGCCAGTTAAATCTGCCAATCTCAAATTCTGTGTCCCCGGAAGTGAGCTGCTTAGGCATGAGAGGACCATTTGAGAGAAGCTCTCCATTTCACTTCCATTCATTTCTGTCCAAAAATAAAGCCACACCTGAGTCGTTTTAGATCACCTTATGGCCCTGTGCTCTTCTAGAGAGATTGGACTGTCTGTCATTTGATCCACGGCTTGACCATCACTTTATAGCTTCAAAATAAATCCATGGTAGTACAGAAAATGATGTGATAAAGTTATGACTTGCTGGGAGATGGCTGCGTCCAGTTTATACAGACTGTCAATTGTTACATCCAAATAAGGCGTAGTGAGGAGAATTGCCACTCTGTAATGTCTAACGGGTTGCTCAGACGCTAGAGGGCACTCTCGAGCAAGTCCAAAATGAATGGGTTAAACGGGGCACCTGACAAAATCAGTCTGTAAATGCTTTAACCTTTTTTATATAGAAGAATACATTCATTTCCTGAACACAGACCACCACAGAACATTTTAACACCACTGTTATATACTAATATGCGGCTGTTTTTGAGCGTTTTAAACTCCCGTTATATAACTTGACGTCAGTGAGCGCGAACCTTTTCACTCAGCAATCAGCACGCAGTAGCAGTAATGCCAACCAATCAGCACTCAGTAGCAGTAATGCCAACCAATGGAAATAGACAGCTATATTTTTTTTTCCTTTTTAGTCAAATATATCCTTCTATTTCATAAATTAAAGGACGTTCCTGAAGAAGTGGTCAGAAACTATTTTAACTTTTCGTTTTTAGCCATTTAGCTCTCCCATTTATTCACTCCCGTTCATTTAGGACGGGGGCGCCCTCTGGCGTTTTGAAGTCATGTTTGTGATTTGGCTCCCCTTAAACTGGTTATGGCTCCACTTAAACCAGGGAAAGTAAGTACAGGACTGGGATGTATGAATAGACTCCAGTCCGGCTCTGGTTAGATCCTGCTGAGGTTTGCGGCTTTATAGACAGTAAAGTGACTTGTTTACTAATAGCGCCTCCTGCTGGAGAAACTTTAGATTGCTAGTGGGAGCTCCAAACGCATCCTCGCCCTTTACGTATCATCATTACAACGCCTTTGGGAAAACATTGAGTACTATATTTTCATAATTGTACAACTTTTAATATGTAAGGTTATTTTAGCAAGATTTTTAAATTAAATAGTCATCTTGTTCTCTGTCAGTTCCCAACATGGCGATCACTTCCTTTAAGCATCATCAGCTTTATTATGTTAATTCAAAAGCAAAAATAAAACAGAAAATTATGTATAAAATAACTTTTTTTTCGATTTCCCGAATTTCGTTTTCGGTCAAGAGGTTTCATTTCGTGTGTCACTAGAAAAAACGTACTGTGATGTATGTTTACAGTAAATTCTTAAATGGTTCAAAGTGGGATGTTTCATTGAAATAATGTTATGAGAGAACATTATCAAAAGCATGTCAGCAAAACTACTTTACAAAAAGATATTCAGATATGAGTATATTACCATAAATACTTAATTTCTGTATTATATTACATTATGTATTATATATTTACTATGGCATCAATCAACCTTTATTTGAAGTACAATGAGGGTGACCCTTATTTACAATAGCTGAGCATTATAGAAAAACAAGTGACTAAACAGAGTGAACATACATTTCTGGTAGTAAAAGTATAGCAGAGAAAATTAAATAAAACGAAATATCATTAATAAAACAGTACCTACGTCGAATTAAAAACAATTAAGAAACTTTAAGAGAAATAAGAACAAATCAAAACAGTCAAATTTAACTATTATTAATTGGTTGTTTTGGACGCGTCCCCGAACTCTCTGCTGTCTTTCACATTCAATAAACATCAGCTGCTTCTTAATTCATTGATAAAACGTCCTTTCGTTTTTTCCATTTTTTCACGATTTTGCGTGATCTGTTAGCCATGTGGAACCACAAGCTAGTCAGCTTTGCCAGTACATAGTAAGGCCATGGTTTACAGATCAGGCCAAATCAAGGCCCGAAGACAGGACAGGAAGGCTCATGTACGGATTCAGACGCAGCCATTTAAAACACACAAACAACGGAATGACTCGTGCACGAATCTCTCTTTTAACCGATTCATAGCTGAATCAAAATTTTTGCAGCATCCACTCGTTAAAATGTTCGCGCCATAGGCTTAAGACCTCTAACAAAATTCGAATAATCTTCCACAATTTAATTGAATAAAATCACAACATCTAATATGTACACTACATCACAGTTTACTAATTAACTGAACCGAATCTTAGTGTAGATGGAGGAGATGAAGGCCGCGTCCGAATAGTTGAATTAAACTTTATTTTCTATCAGCTCTTTTTGATTTTGCCTGATCTGCTAGCCGTGTGGATCCATGGCAGTCCATGCCAACATACCCACAGAGAGGCAAAATCAAGGAACGCACACCAGTGAATCGTTGAATCCGGCTTTCGATTCATTAAACAGGATAGTTCATAAGAACCGATTCGGCAAAGCTGAATCGAACTGCTCGTGGCTCCGACCCCGTTGAGATGAAGCGGCTCGTTCTCCCTCCACTCGCCTTCCAGAACACTGCACGCGGGCCCCGCGCGTCACCGCTGCGCAGCCAATGAGCGCGCTTCACGGAGGGACGCGAGCTTCAGCCATGTCGCGGTTTTAAATGAGGAAGAAGCGGGAGAAGGCTGTCGAGGGAGCAAGTTTCACATACTCTGGTTTTCCACTCAAACTTTTAATAACGGTACCCTAGAATCTCGGGTCCTGTTAAAAAATAACCGCTGGTACCGGCGCGCGCGGGAGCCTCGTTCTGTTTAACGGCCGTTGAGACTGCGCTCGTTGCCTCTTCTAGCCGCTGCTAGCATCTCGTGCTAGCTAGCTGGCTAAGTTAGCTAGCGCGGTAGCTAACGGCGGCTGCGCTCCGCTTCGCTAGCCGGGTTACGGTGAACAGTAATTAACCTGAAAATGCGGCTCACTCTGACCGGCTAACAAAGCCTCAGCCGGCGGTGGAGACTCGACTGCGGAGACTCGGGCTGGCTGCTAGCATGTGAATGACGGGCGAGAGCGAGCTGAGCGGGGACTCTGCACTGTCAGGCGAATTAATAAGAACCACGGCGAAGAGTAATTTGAACTGCGTGGCTCAGGTTCCGTTTTCTTTTAGCTAAAATGTTTAATAAACTGTACCAATGGCTCGGAACTGGAATAGCGAACCTTCGCAACGGAGTACCGGCCGACGGGGATCACCTCGGTACCAACAGAGCTCAGCAGGACGGTTCTCCGCAGAGAAAAAGACCCATAGACTGGTGAGTTTATCAGAAGACGACTAGCTAATGACTTGTTCTGTTAGCTAGCATGTTTTGTTCTGAATGGTCTAAACAGAAAATTAGAAATACTGAGGATGAAACTGTGTTTAGGAGTGTTTTTAGTTCCAGATATTAAAGCGCAAACTGGTGACAGTAACTGTAGCTATGTTAACAGAAGCCGGGCGAAGCGCGCGGCAAAAAATAAATCAATCAGTGGAAGGGGAATTCCATCGATTTGTAAAAATTCTGCATAGTTTACCCGTTAAGATGTACGCAGAGTTGTTCAGAGTGGTTTGATGTGAAATGCTCTGTTCTTACATTAGTAAGCTAGTACATGAAATTGTTACGAAAACAATATTGTTACTGATGCCTGATGTTGTTTTAAAGTAGTTTTAAGATCAGCTTTTGGCATAAAATGTATTTTTAATTACATATTTTTCATGTTCACCACTATTTTACTGTCATCATAACATATAAAACTCAGAGATGACCTGTAGGGTTCACTGGGCATTTTGGATTGTAAATAAAATTGCTATAATTGTGTTGTAGACACCATACTCTTGCTTCCCATCACCACCACTGTAAATCAGAGTTTGTAAGTTTCACTACAATGTACCATTTCAGACCAGCCACTCCAAATGACTTTGTTTACGTCTCATCAATTACATTGTTCGGAAATACAGAAAAATCGGTGAAATTCCCCTTTAAACTTGTGGGTTCTCTGCTTGAGCGTGCCTTATAGGTGTGTCGTTGTCCAAAATCATTTAACTGTTTCACTGGTCACCAAAATATAAGCTTTGGTTATCAGGTAACTAATATATTATGCATCACACATCTTCTCATCTTGACAGTCTGGAGGATGTGGATGGCATTGAAGAAGACAGAGCGGTGAAGCGATATAGGATGGGTAAGACACTTTGATGCTATTCATCCTGGTTATATAGGGGCAGTAAAAACAATGTTTCGCTGCATTTCAGTGCATAAAACAGTAACCCTGTGGTTCCTGTGTGTTAGGAGATTTTATGGACTCGATGAAGACTGCGGCTGAGGGGATGAAGACCCATGGCTCGAGTGTTGCGTCGTGGGTGTGCAACAGTGTTAGTCCGACATTGAGGAACATGCTGCCTGCCTCTCCTGGCTCACCTCAGACAAAACGGACATCTTTACCTGCGGTCAATGCGTCGGGGTCTGCATGGACTGAAAACAAGGTATTTCACTCATAATAGAGGATATTGGGTTATGGATTCAATATGCAACCTTTTCATAGGAAATTTTAAAGAACTGCTGAGATTTGTAACATTAACTAAGGGTGCAGCGATTTCAATGTAGTGTCAGAAAATGAACAGAAGTAAGTAACAACTAAACTTTAAAATGTATGGCCAGTATGTCCTTTGTCAGTACAATGAACTTGCCACAAACTAACTCAGTAATTTAAAGTTAGTACTTCAGTGTCTGATTCATCATAGTTTTGCTCATATACTTGTACTTTTGTGACATGTTAATGTTGATAATTCACTTCTGGGGAGTTTATAACCATTCAGGTTTTTGTAACGTTCATTACTCAGTTGCACTGTATGATCTGTATTTTGCATAAGAACATGCTGTTTTTTAGATTTCCGTTTAAAATATGTGTTAGCTATACCTGCCTAGGGCGTAATTAGAGCTCTGGAGATTTAAGACATATTTAACACATAAAATTTCCCAAATCTAAATGAATCACTGTCTATATAGAGCAGAAGATTAGAACATAAATGTGCTTCAGAAGTTTGCACAATTGTTGTTGGTCCTCAAATATGTTTGTTTTGCTTTCAGTTTACTGAAAAAACAACTGAAACGCTTGAGGACACATTTGTGGCTCCTTCAACTGCTGTTGAGTGGAAAACCATCCTTAAGTCTGGTAACAGGACCAACATTTACAGTCGTATACAAAAGTTTGAGCACCTTTGGTCAAATTACATGTTTTGATTTTGTGAAAGTGAAAAACAAAAAAAAAAAAACATCTTCCACAGAGAAAACATTTCTAAATGCACAATTGCATCTTGGGAGAAAACAACATAAAATGTGGCCTGTGCGACAGTAATGGCACATTTTGTATTTTATGTTTTATTTTGTTAGTTTACTCAGATTTGCAGAAAAATTACATATGTAAGTTATTTTCACTTAAAAAATCAACAAAACATGAAATTTGACAGCAGACGACCGTATCTTCTGCATTCATTCACATTTGGTAATTATTATTTTTTTAAAATATTAGTTACTCTGTTTTTTCTTTACTTGCAGACTCTTTAAGAACTGAGCAGTCAGTGACTATATCGAAGGTCGGCCGACGGCAAGTCTATACAGGCCTTTCACACCATGATACACACAAAACTAATGGCCACTCAGTCAACATATCCCCTATCTGCACCTCTAAACCCTGCCCCTCTCCTCGGCTTGGTCGGCCCCTGTACCTCAGACCGCACAAATCACCAAGGTGTGTCTAGTTTTGTGATCACTTGTTGCAGTGCGCATCATGCGTTATTTTGCAGCCTTCTGTTTGTATGTGTAATAAATTTGTAATTCTAATGTAATACACTATTTTAGGGTGTAATGTTATGCCGTTATGTCTAAAGGTTTTCCTATTCCATTTCTACGCACAACATGATGCATTGGTTTTGTTTTCCCTCAGCCGGTTCTCTACCCCTGGATCAAACACAGGAAATGCGTCGTACACCAGTATGTATGAGAAGACCTTTCCCATTCGAGTGGTCCAGAGCCCTTCCCATGGCACCTCCAGCCGTCACTGGAGAGGCAGACCTTGCTGTACAGCGCAGGAGGTCTGAGTATTTCTAATTCAGTTGTCATGATTGGCATGTTTCACTGTGTACTGTTTGTACTGATAAGTGTGGACCCCCCACTTTGCTGTTGTTTACAGTCAGTACGTGAGGAGGAAAAAGAAGTGTACAGGCAGTTGTTATCCATGGTGTCTGGTGGCCAGTCGTCATTCTTCCATGACAGTTCTCACCCAGGCATCCGATCACATCGGGATTTGTGAGTGTCTTATGGATACAGTCCTTTCATGTCCTCTATCCTTTTAGTCTTTATGCTGTGTTGTGACATGACTAATGCAGTTTGTGACTAGATTAATACAGTTTTAGTATGTATTTAAGACTGACTTTTTTTTTATAATCTTTTCACCGTTTAGCTCCAGTTTCCTGACATCAAGCCGCCGACTGCTGCGGTGCGCTTCCCCCGCGGGCTCAGGAGCAGGAGAGTCTTCATTAGATTTATCCAGCCTGCCTCCCAGCCCACAGAACTCCAGTGCCCTGCCCAGCCCTGGGGCGGTCTCCAATGGCCCTGAATCACAGACGTGGACCTCTGACGCTGACAGTGAGTCAGGCTCAAGAAGACCACTGGCCATACGGTCCACGCTGTCACCAGCTAACTTTCAGGATGCTTCATCTCAGGACACACAGTCATCAGGTGAGCACTATAAAACTGTTTTACATAATTGGTTGTGCTCAGGATGAAGCTTGGTGTATATGTACACTGTATTGCCAAAAGTATCTACTCACCCTTCCAAATCATTGAATTCAGGTATTCCAATCACTTCCGTGGCCACAGGTGTATAAAACTAAGCACCTAGGCATGCAGACTGCTTCTACAAACATTTGTGAAAGAATGGGACGCTCTCAGGAGCTCAGTGAATTCCAGCGTTTTATCGTGATAGGATGCCACCTGTGCAACAAGTCCAGTCGTGAAATTTCCTCACTACTAAATATTTCACAGTCAACTGTCAGTGGTATTATAACAAAGTGGAAGCGATTGGGAACGACAGCAACTCAGCCACGAAGTGGTAGACCACGTAAAATGACAGAGCGGGGTCAGCGGATGCTGAGGCGCATAGTGCACAGAGGTCACTCTTTCTGCAGAGTCAATCGCTACAGACCTCTAAACTTCATGTGGCCTTCAGATTAGCTCAAGAACAGCGTAGAGAGGTTCATGGAATGGGTTTCCATGGCCAAGCAGCTGCATCACCTAGCGCAATGCAAAGCGTCGAATGCAGGGGTGTAAAGAGCCGCCACTGGACTCTAGAGCAGCGGAGACGTGTTCTCTGGAGTGACGGATCACACTTCTTCGTCTGGCAATCCGATAGACGAGTCTAGGTTTGGCAGTTGCCATAAGAACGGTGCTTGTCTGACTGCATTGTGCCAAGTGTAAAGTTTGGTGGAGGGGGGATTATGGTGTGGGGTTGTTTTTCAGGAGTTGGGCTCGGCCCCCTAGTTCCAGTGAAAGGAACTCTTAATGCTTCAGCAGACCAAGAGATTTTGGACAATTTCATGCTCCCAACTTTGTGGGAACAGTTTGGGGATGGCCCCTTCCTGTTCCAACATGATTGCGCACCAGTGCACAAAGCAAGGTCCATAAAGACATGGATGAGCGAGTTTGGTGTGGAAGAACTTGACTGGCCTGCACAGAGTCCTGACCTCAACCCAGTAGAACACCTTTGGGATGAATTAGAGCAGAGACTGCGAGCCAGGCCTTCTTGTCCAACATCAGTGTCTGACCTCACAAATGCGCTTCTGGAAGAATGTCAGAAGCCTTCCCAGAAGAGTTGAAGCTGTTATAGCTGCAAAGGGTGGGCCGACATCATATTAAACCCTATGGATTAAGAATGGAATGTCACTCAAGTTCATATGCATGTGAAGGCAGACGAGCGAATACTTTTGGCAATGTAGTGTGTGTGTGTGTGTGTGCTTGTGTATGTTCTGTATATTACATATATATGATTATGATTAGATATGTGTGTGTGAAAAATTTACTGTAATTGTTGGAGTTTTAAAACATTGTTTTTGCTTTCACAGCTCATGATGGAGACTCTGTTATTTTTGTAAAGGAGCAACAGGGCAAGAGACCAGAAAGCTCAAGGTAAGGTAGAAAATGGAACTGGTCTCTTGACCTTTTGAGATTTTGTGTCTGATCTGTGTCTATGAGTGTTCTCTATTTTCATGCAATTACATCACGTGTTATAGCTGTGGAATCAAGCTATTTTGAAGAAAGCCTGTATGATAATGCTATTTTTAAAAAATCAGACAATAAACACAAGGTGAGATTTACTGTTTTCTTCACCGGTGTGTGCAACCAGTCAGTATTGCTGTTCTCAAATACCCAGTGAATCTATACCAAAACCAAAAGTTGCTGAAGAACATAGGTGACTGGGATTTGTTACGACAGGCACCCCAAGAACCGGCCATCATTGTTTGTATGATGCTAATGTGCTTTCTTCCTCTGTCTTGGCAGCGTGCCATGTTTCCAAGCTGAACTTTGGATCAAAGAACTGTGAGTGTTTTTCACCTTCCTTCTCCAGATTTTTTTTTGTTGTTGTCTCATCGCTGTTCTATTTGTTAGTTGATACAAGGTTACAACATTAACTCATGAAATGTGTAATGCCTGTGTGTGTGTGTGTGTGCGTGCGTGTACGTGCAGGACAAGCCTCTATGACTCCCGTGCTCGGGAGAGACGGCGGCTCATAGAGGAGCAAGAGGCTCTGGCATCTCAGCTCTTGCGCCAGGTGAGCTTAGGATTCTCTCATATCGTTCTCTCCCTTTTCATATTATTCTCTCAATGTGTGTACTGTTTGGCTCACCTTCTTTTCCTTTCTGTTTTGGGGGATAAACTAGCGTCTGTCTGGTGAAGGCCAAGCTGGTCTAACAAGTGTGGAGCTGCAAGTGCGAGTACCTCTAGAAAAGGAGGTTCCTGTTGCGTCTATCATCGAGGAGCCAGTGCCCGTTGTAGAGGAGCAGGAATTCCCTGAGCTGACTGAGGTAAAAAGTGACTACATGCGCTCAACTTCATCAAATGGATATCTGTGCTATCTCAAAGATGATGAGTTATTGTGCCTCATGTAAAAAAGATTCTGTCTCGCTCTCCTCAACTTTTTGCACGATTCTAACTCTATGCACGGGCATGTGTGTAGGTCATGGAGAACGAGGTGAACAGAGCGCTGAGGGGCGGTAGTCAGGAAGAGGTTCTCAGTGAGGGATTCCGCCTCACCATCACCAGGAAGGACCTGCAGACTCTTAGCCACCTAAACTGGCTCAATGATGAGGTTAATGTCAGAAATAGCATTCTTAAACTGTCAGCACTGTCAGTTTTCTTTACACAAAATCCTGAAAGGCCATACCACTGCAGCATTTAGGCACTCCAATACACCTTATTCAGCTTTGCGCAACACTTCATTGAGCTGCACTGTCCTAGTTTCATAATTTCAACACCAATATAAAAGAGATCTAAATGAGATCTCTGTCATTGTAATGTATCCTTATAAAAACAATTTAGGTTTTCTGCTAAAACTATTTTGTTGAAGTAATGATAATGGGCGTTCCTCTTTGTCTGCAGGTGATAAACTTCTACATGAACATGCTGGTGGAACGCAGTAAGGCACCACACTTGCCCTCTGTGTACACCTTCAATACCTTCTTCTACTCTAAGCTGCGCAGCTCTGGATACTTAGCCGTTCGCCGCTGGACCAAGAAAGTAGACATTTTCTCTGTGGACATCATTCTAGTGCCTGTCCACCTGGACGTGCACTGGTGTCTCTGTGTAAGTTTCAAAGCAAAGCAGATTAAAAGCGAATGGGCTTTAGTTAGATAGGGCCTTTTTTCACACATGTACAGATGATGCTATTCATTGACCTTATTTTTATTTGATTAGTTCAGATAAGATTTTATTCTTAAACCCTGATTAGATTAATAATTGGATTGGGATTAGCTGATTTGATAGTGAAGGTCAGGTTTCTCACCCCTGTCTGTCTTGCTCTGGTAGGTTGTGGATTTTCGCAAGAAGAGCATCACATATTTTGATTCCATGGGAGGAAACAATGATGAGGCATGCAGGATTTTGTTGTAAGTGCTGCTTGAGTGTGAGATGATGAAACCAGGGTGTAACCAGAGTATCGTTTCACCCACACTTTTTTTGCCTTTTTAATATCTTCCCTAGGGTGCCCAAGGCTTGTGAATTAGTTCTGTCTAGACCAAGGGTATTCTGTTCTGATCCTTGGTGGGCTGGGGTCATGCACAGTTTAGTGATTTCCCTGCACTAACACACCTACTAAACCTGGTAGTTAAAGGGTTGAGTTAAAGATGCTGTGTTTGTTCAAGGAAATCTACAATGCCAGTTCCAAAGTGGGTATGCTGTATAAAATGTAAATAAACATAATTAAAACAGAATGCAATGATTTGCAAATCTCATAGACCCATATTTTATTCACAGTAGAATATAGAACACATATCAGATGCTGAAAGTGAGACATTTTACCATTTCATGAAAAAACATTAACTCATTTAGAACTTGATGGCAGCAGCGCATCTCAGAAAAGTTGGGCCGGGGCAATAAAAGGCTGGAAAAGTAAGTGGTACTAGTAAAAAAACAGCAGCAATTGCAATTTGCAACTAACTCACATGATATAAAAAGAGCATTTTAGAGAGGCAGAGTCTCCCAGAAGCAAAGATGGGGCTGAGATTCACCAATCTGTGAAAAACTGCATCTAAAAATTGTGGAACAATTTCATAAAAATGTTCCTCAATGTAAAATTGCGAAGACTTTGGACATCCCACCATCTACAGTACATAATATTATCAAAAGATTCAGAGAATCTGGAGAAACCCCTGTACGCAAGGGACAAGGCTGATGGTCAATATTGGATGCTTGTGATCTTCAGGCCCTCAGACAGCACTGCATTGAAAACGGGCATGATTCTGTACTGGAAATCACTGCATGGGCTCAGGAACACTTCCGGAAATCATTATCTGTGAACACAGTTCGGCCTGTTCTGTGGTCAGATGAATCCAAATTTCTTTTTGGAAACCACGGACGCCATGTCCTGCGGACTCAAGAGGAGAGGAACCATCCAGCTTATCAGCGCACAGTTCAAAAGCCTGCATCTCTGATGGTATGTGGTTGCATTAGTGCCTAAGATGTGGGCAGCTTACACATCTGGAAAGGCACAATCAATGCTGAACAGTATATAGAGGTTTTAGAACAACATATGCTTCCATCCAGACAACGTCTCTTTCAGGGAAGCCTTGCATATTTCAGCGAGACAATGCTAAACCACATACTGCATCCATCACAACAGCATGGCTTCACAGAGGAAGAGTCTGGGTGCTGAACTGGTCTGCCTGCAGTCCAGACCTTTCACCAATAGAAAACATTTGCCGCATGAAACAACAAAGCCAGCAAAGAAGACCCAGGACCGTTGAACATTTAGAATCATACATCAGATAAGAATGGGACAACATTCCTCTCCCAAAACTCCAGCAGTTGGTCTCCTCACCTCCCAGACATTTACAGACTGTTGTTAAAAGAAGAGGGGATGCTACTCAATGGTAGACATGGCCCTGTGAGATGCGTTGCTGCCATCAAGTTCTGAATGAGTTAATATTTTTCATGAAAGGGTAAAATGTCTCACTTTCAACTTCTGATATGTGTTCTGTGTTCTGTTGTAAATAAACTATGGGTCTATGAGATTTATAAACTATTGCATTCTGTTTTAACTTATCTTACACAGCGTCCCAACCTTTTTGGAATTGGGATTATACCTCTAGTTTTAATGAGTTTTAACATTTTAATGAGAACCTTCTGAATGGTGTGCCTCTTTTCTACAGAAAATATTTGAAACAAGAAAATGAAGACAAAAGAGGCCAAGACTTGGATACCTCAGACTGGACACTTCAGAGTAAAAAACGCAATGTGAGTCATTTAACAGTTACGTTTTTTTTAATGTAATGAATTTTAAGAATAGGTTGTTATTATTAGTAATAAATGTTTGTCTTCTTAAAAAAAAAAAATATAGGGATACACCGATATGGGAATGGTGAGCTGATGCCGATATTTGGTATTTGTTATGTATTTATCTTCCGATCCCTGTAAAACAACAAATACATCATCTAATATCTGTTTCAAATGTCTGTTAAAGCCAACCATCTGTCCGATTTCTTTATCAATTATCTGCGGACACCCATATGATTCTGATACCATTAGGGATGCACCGAATATTTGGCAACCGAAATTACACGCCCAAAAATGGCAAAAAAATACTTTGGGTGTTCGGCCAAATAAGTGAAAATGGTGAATAATTTATACTGAACAACGACGTTTATAATGATGCTGTTTTCTTTTTCTAGTTCCCGGCTATAGACAGGAACCAGAGCGGAACTTTTACTCCACAGCGAGTCACACCAGAGCACGTTAAAGTTTCCCAGCTTTTATTCAGTTTTAAGTATTCGAGCCAAACGTAACTCCAGAAAGAGTAAAGAAAAGAACAGAACCACTGTGTTTAACAAGCATTACAGCAAGGCAGACAGACAGCAGCTTTTTAGCGCACGCTCACACTCATTCTCTCTATCTATCTTTCTCTCTCGTGCGTGTGCACTCTTTATTTCTTGCTCTTTCTCTCTGTGCACGTGCCCGCATCCTCCTAAAATAACGGTCAAAAATTTTCATTTCGGTGCATCCCTAGGTACCATATATCCCTAAAAATGATTTATTTCTGAATGGATTAAGAAAATATTTAGTCCAGTGGTAGTTTTTTTTTTTGGTTTTTAGCTGGAATAAGAGAAATAATACTCACAGCCAATTCCTCTGTTTAGGACTGCAGAAACGTTTAACATTTGGATACTATTCATGTGTGCTTTGGACTACATAGAAAAACATACTTTGTAGTGGAGCAGAAGCTGTTATTAACAGTGGCTCACATTGCCTTAATATGTCTTTCAGTTCTAAAGGGTAAAATTGCTAAGTTAATGTATCAGTATATTTTGGTGTATTGCCATATGTCGACAGCAGCCTAATAGGCCATAGAAATGGTTGTGGAATGTTCTTCCTGCAGGAGATTCCTCAGCAAATGAATGGAAGTGACTGTGGAATGTTCACATGCAAATATGCTGAATACATCACCAAAGACAAGCCAATTACGTTCACACAGGTGAGCATGCTCAGTAAAGCTTTTAAATTAGATTGAAAAACCTGTTGTTGTTGTTGTTGTTGTTGTTTTGTGTTTTAATGCCTTATATCGTTTCGTCTCTGTGTTCCCAAAACCCCTGCAGAAACACATGCCGTATTTCAGGAGGCGAATGGTATGGGAGATCCTGAATCAGAGACTTCTATAATAGACAACCTTGTCATGAACTCACCCGAGGATGATGTGAGGAAAACGAGGGCTGCTGCACTCTGCCGTACTGCAGGATCCACGCTGGCTCGAAACAGACATAGAAGTTATGCCTTTAACACTTCCTCAGCTGGTGCTCTGTTTCACTGATGCCAAGTATGTGCTGCTCAACTGACAGCCTGGGTTCAAGATTTTAGGATGCCAGTGACCCAAAAAGAAGCTCCAGTGTTTTGGGCTTCCTGTCTGGTATAATTCAGTGGCGTCCCCTCCACTACAACCTTAATAACTTGACGTTTTTTTGTTTTACTCAGATTTTGAGCTTCAATGTGGATGTTCGTTTTTAATTTCTCTGCAAAACATTGTTTTTTTATTTTTGTTTTTTTTTTGCTTATGATAAATAAATAAAAATATGCGCTGACAGCTTTTTTTCATTTTACAGCAGGCGTTGCATTTCAGCAGTTTGTCCATTTTCTCATAACTGAAGTCATAATTGTTTATGTCTTAAGGTTGTTTTCCACATTGGCAAAGCATCACAAACCTGTATGCTGCAAAAAAAGGCAACGTGGGACCAACAGCTGTTTGCTCTCAAACAGTAATCCAGCTAAAGCTGACAATCGCAGGGCTTTTGTAAACCACTGAGTTGGGAGAATGAAACTACGGAACAAGCATAATTCAAAATAATAGTATATTTTTGATGTCAATACATATTTGTATTTTACAGCACATTTCTTAATACATGTGCCAGAAAGACAGTCTGCTTTTATAATTTCAGTGACCTGACTTTCTGAAAAGGGGTAATGCTCTTTCACATACAGCAGTTATGACTTCAGTATGATTTTTTTTTTCTTCTTTTACAAAAGAGAAGGCTTCGGTTCGATAACATGATAGGGCAGTTTTTCAGTGGAAGCTCTGTGCAGATGGCCAAGAAACATCTGCTTAAGTTGGTTATTTTTGTTGCAAGATTAGACAAGCTAAGCAGCGAATATGGATCTGTCAGAATATCTAGATAAGCATTAAGCGTGCTTTATCTATAAATATTTTAAAGAAAGGTCGAAGTAGGTCAAGTCAACACATGTATAACTCCAATGCAAACCAGCAGGATAGCATCCTTCCGTTTTATACTGACACTTGAGGATACTCAACTCTATGTAAGTATACTCAGTTTAGTAATTTGCTATTGTTTCTAGAGGTTTTTCTCTGTTATATTTACAGTTATTGTACATACAGTGTCTCACAGGTTAATTGAAGACATATTTAATACACATTTTGTACCTTTTATTATGGTTTTGTATGTAGATCTGGTCTTCCTGGAAATAAAATCCTGAGGCTGTGTGTGTATTGGATTGATGCGTCTTGTTTTACTTCAGTGAGGTCTTCCGTTTTCTAAAAATCAATACAAAGTTGGATTTTGGACTTAGGCCTTGAACTAAAGTAATAGATGAGTAAATATGTATGAAAATCTGTAGAGAATTTTCTCCATATGAAAATATATACACATATGTACTAAAATCTGTCATATACTTAAGTATGAAAAGTAGATGTAAACTGAGTTATTAGTTATTTTGATAAGCAGGTTCTGTTAGGGAGATCTGTGGCTGCACACGTGAAAAAGATTTAGCTGTTGATGTCTGCAGGTCTGCTTTGTAGTAGTTGTACTTTTGTGCTTCATCCTAATTACAACTGTATAGAACTGCCATAGTGTTCTTTACAAGGCAATACAATGTCATTTACATGATAAAACATTAGGGTTGCACCGGTGCAGATACTGGCACTTAGATGTAGCATCAGTGATGGGTCTACAGAGAGCACGAAGCAATTTCTGGCACGCCTGCAGGTCACTAAGTGATGTGACGTGTACATGTGCGCAAATAGATGAAACTTAACATGTCGGCAGTGTAGATTAACAAGCAGCAGTAAAAAAAATCTGCTCTAAAAATCTGTAATGCCAGTACTCTGTTTGAAGGCAGTAGTAGTGGCCAGTTGAAATTCTTCCTAAGGTATTAGTTTGACTGGTACACCACAAATAAGCCAGTGCAAAATATACGAACAGGAGCCGTTTACCTGAATGTCTGTGCCAGTGTGAGTTAATGGTAGTCCAGGGTGTTATTGAGGCAGCGAATGTTAGAGAGATATACGGAAGGAACCGCCGGTCACATTAAGTTATAATAGTTTTTAGCCTTCGTTTAGCCTTTAGCATAGCAGCCCACTAGCCAGCCGCCTGCGGTGTGCCTCCCCAGCAAACACACAACATTGTCCTAACGTTGTCTACTTTCTTACAAAACGTTGTCAAAGGGTGGCGCTGTTTACGTTGTGTCAACCTCATTATTACATAATTTTGCCATGCGGTGTTACGACTACCTGCTGGCAGCTTAGCAAAATTCCAGGGAGTCCTCGTTATGCCCATATGAGGAACTCCGGGTCTAAGCCCCATTTCTCTATAGCCAGAATGAATAGGGTTTTCGAAAAATCGCCTCTATCGCCCCCTGTGTTAAATAAAAATGTTCAGAACCCGATACGTTTTGTCCTGTGTACATTGTTCTCCAGAATACCACTAGATCCTCTGAATTACGAGGTCATAAAAAGCTATAATACTAATATTGCTACATGCGAGCTAAAGCTACTGCACATCAATTTGATGTCACTAAGCTACACGAAACTAAGGCGGGCTGTGCCGGTGCTCTGACGAGCTGTGGTATCTTATCGAAATGTTCTACTGTCGCGCATAATTACAGGTAAACCCGTAAATAAAACCTCTAGGTCGGATATTTTGATAGTCTAAAACTCCTTGTCAAAAATACTACCCGAGTTAAAACTAAGAGGCTGAATTTAGCTTCTTTTTTCACAGCTTCTTGTTTGAATGTTCCCGTTCCACCTTAAATGGTGCAGAGGCTGTGAGTAGCCATCACAAACATTAGCAAACGAGACAAAATACTGACCTATCGGTTCAGTGAAACAGCAAAAATAAGTTAATGTTACTCAGCTGTTAAGTGAAAATACAGAAACCTCCTCATATCAGGCCTTTCAACCCTCCATGAAGCTGAAGTCAGCGTCTTTTTCTCCGGCTGCTTGTTGGAATTTTCCCGTTCCACCTTAAATGGCGCAGCAGTTCACTATTTTAAAATAATAATTAGGATATTCTGAGAGCCTAAATCAGTTTATGAGGGGGTCAGCAGTGATTATTAAACCGAGTCTGTACTGGATTAGCCTGAGTGAATGTACGTTTGTAGATGTTTTTAAATCAAGCTAAAAGGAGAGGTCTATCGTGTTCCAGTGAGCATCAGATGAAGAACAGAGAACTGCAGGGAAACCTGCTGATTTTGTTCTGACAGTCTGTACATACATACTGCCAAAACCTGCTTAAGGAGGCTTTCAGTCAAATAACGTGAATTCAGTGCGCAGTAGCTTTAGCTCACATGTAGCAATATTAATATTTCAACACTTTAACGACCTCGTAATTCAGAGGATCCAGTGGTATTTTGGAGAACAATGTTCACAGGACAAAACGTATCGGGTTCTGAACAGGTTTATTTAACACAGGGGGCGATAGAGGCGATTTTTCAAAAACCCTATTCATTCTGGCCACATAGAAATGGAGCTTAGACCCGGAGTTCCTAATATGGGCATAAGAACATGGCGCCACCACAAAATGACGACACGACTACAGTGGTCGTCACCAGGAAGGCTCCACCTCCTGCAATTGTGGCGCGAAACTCGTGAGGGAACAGGTGAGAGAAAATGGAGCCCGTTGCATTGTGTTTGTTGCCTTTTCATTTCTTCATGCAAATGGAGGAGATTTCCATATGCAGTGTGATAAACTACATATATACAAATACTTTTAAATAAAGTATGATATATGGACAAACGCTTCAATTAATCAGTCTTTTTACACTTTATAAGGTAACAGAAATGAATTCAAGGACATGAACAACTTACATTTTATGTTCTGCTCCAACGGCTTAGTTTTCCATCATTTTCATTGTGCTGTTTTTTTTTCCTTCGCGTCGTTCGTGTGCAGAGATTTGTGGGTAACCGAAGGCCTGGAAGGATACCTCTCTTGCGTCTTCGGGACACTCAGAACGTAGGCTGCATTTCTAGGCTGTATACGAGGGATCCTTCACTTTGGAATGGCCTTCTATGATGTAGCGGCCGAGAAATGCAGCCTACCTCAGTTGCAGCCAAGGCTTTGGAGCGCACCTACTGACTTCGTTGACACAATGTTGTCAGATAACCTTGTCACAACTTTTTGAGGAATTACATTTCAACATTGTGACAACGTTGTGGGCACCAAAACAATAGGTTGTCACAACGTAACTATGTTTGCTGGATCTTTCGGTCAGCTGCATCACACAGTGGCGTGGTCTTGCGGCCTTGTACCTCCATCAAGCCAAGAAATGTAAAAACAGCAGCTGTTAACAGCCTGAATGACTGTAATATTTAGTGAACTCCAGCAGAGTCTGATGCTAAGAGATGTAGTGTGAGTGTAAGGGATGCACATACGAGACCATTGACTTTAGAATAAACCTGTTCGGCCAATCAGGGCACAGTATTCAGGTCAGGTTACACAACACTGTCATGAACTGTTTTAGCTAAATCTCAAATGGCCATGTTCTCCCTACAAAGCACAGCACATAGGTCTTAAAATAATGGCTACTGTATCTAAACAGAGCACAGTGTGTCTAACAAAGAACCACTTTGGATTCAGCCATGTGTGCACAATTCATACTAGATATAAAGTGCAATATTTAGGTGTAAAAGTCAAAATTTCATAACTCACATAGTGCACTATGTAGGGAGCAGTGAGCCATTTGAGATTCAGCCTTAGGATTTTCCGAGTATGATCTTATAGATGTTTAATATTGTTCTAGTTGCAATTTTCAGCAGTTTGCCAACTTGTTTTTTGTTAAATAATGTTAAATATTGCACTCAAAAGAAACTTATATCAATTACATGGCTCTGTTTGACTCTAAAACATGAAGTGACCATTGGAGTTATTTGCTTTTGCCAAAAAACAAAATAAATAAATAAATAAAGTCCAATAAAGTCTAATTTTGTAAGTTACCTGAACTTTTTTGAGTTGTTTTTATTTAATCAAGTCAACTGCAGTTTGATTGATATTACCTGGATTGCACAATAAAAACATGATTTATGAAAATTCATTAAAATGGAGATACCATGTGTCATCTTGTGATTATTGGCATAAGCTGTTCATAAATACTCAAGTATTGCATTATAAATGGACACCAGACACCAGAAGACATGAGCACTAGGGAAAGGAAGTAGTTGACATAAAAGCTGCTTTATTGAGAAAGAGACATTAGAAGCTTCAGATCTTTGAAGGGGTGTTCGAGAGCATTGCTGTTGTTCAGAGTGAGAACATAATTTCTCCTAAGCTTCGAAAGATTTTCAAGGGAAGATCCTCCTTAACAGCAGAATCCAAACCAAGCCTTAACCAGACACTAAGAGCCTCTTAGGGATCATCTAAGAGACTGGATAAACTCTGAGTGGATAAAAACTGATATTGCTAATAGGACATGTATCCTAAAACATAGGCACTCATAAATCAGAGTAATCAATATGAATGAATATTGAGGCAGCTATGGACTTGATGTCGTGGAAGATTATTTTGGAATTTTGCAACTTGGCAGACAAAGCCCTCAATATCCTCATCACCCGTGGAGCACGGAGATTATAAAATAATGTAAAAAATAAGAAAGTAAAAATAGATGGAGAATGGCTTTTAAATATCAGAAAAGTAGATGCAGAAGGCAATGATCTACTCGAATCGAATAACATTTGGAAAGTTTCCTGTCTGTCGATGTGTTGAAGGAAAAAAAAAATCACCTCAAATAAATAAAATTGTCTCAAAACAGTATGACGTCAGTTCTGAGACGAAGCAGCATCGCAGGGACAGAGGCAGAACAGCAGGGGGCCGAAGGACAACCGGGGTCTCAGTTCAGCTGTTAATGAACTGAGCGTTTGACCATAATCACAGCTAGCAACTATGAGTCGAGTCACACTGCTGGGTGACGTGGACGTTTCCAACATAATTTTTTTGTTTGTTTTTTTTTTGTTTTGTTTTTTTAATCACAACTGCTCTACAGTCATACTTTAGCAGTTTGCTCAGCATTTACTTAAATTCATTTAAAACCTTTCTTTGATATTCAATAAAAAACGCAGCAAAACACTTTGCAAAAACATCGTATTTTTCTATGTACAAAAAATTCTACTTCTACAACAGACTTAAAAAGCAGTCAAAATATTCAAAAAGGAAACCAAAAAATGAAAAGGATTAAAAAAAATACTACGGTTCTAAAATGACATGGTGCTGAGACGTTCTCTTTGCTCCGCTCGGGCTGCCCAGAGCGGTCTAGAAAATAAAGTCATATTTTGCGTGCAGAAAAATAACATTTCTCAAGTGTTTGTGTGTGACCGGCTGTGTGTGAGTGTGTTTTTGTGAGCGTTTGCCGCTTTTGAGTTCTTGTAGTCCATAGCTTCCTTCATCTTGTTTTATTTTTACTGCTGCCAAAAAAGGTTATGCTGTCCATTGCTTGGTCTTCCCACTCTTGAAAGAGTCTCCAGCACAATAAATGTCTTATTTCCTTTTATTGACAAAGGGACAGGATCCTTTGGTCCTCTTCGGCAATGCCTGCTCCTTTGATGTCCAGAGCAGCAGAAAGAGGAGACGCTGCAGGCAGGTGTCCTGCGCTAAAGCTCCTGTCCGCTGATTCCTGCAGGGATTAGCTGAGGGATGAGAGAGAGAGAGTGAAAGAGAGAGAGAGAGAGAGAGAGACTATGACTACACATTCAGACTGCAAAGGGAGGCAAATGTATTGAACGTTGAAGCTTTATACATATTCAATGAATTTGTCAGGGAAAATTTTCTACTAGATAGTTCATCCAAAGATCACTCAGAAGTTGAAGGTTTTCCTTCTCACCCCAAATGTAGATCAGCCAAGACGTGTAGTGTCTGACAGTAGGGTTCTTTAGTTTCGCACTGGAGCTATGAGGCTAAAGTAGCTACATTTATTGGAAGCTAATAAGCATGTATTCAGTAACATATTCCAACACAGTACATAAAAAGTAAAGTATTCAGAATGTACTTAGAATACATGTTGATAAGGCAAATGGTAAAATCTCTGCTGATGATATTTTTATTAAATTCACACTGTTGCTTGTTTTCAGTGGTTGGCAGTTCTCTTCATGTTGTTCTTCTGTTAAGATATTTCATGAAAATATCACTTATTTAAATCAAGTTACAAAATCCTCAACATTATTTTGGCTCTCATCGCTTGCTTTAGTCCACTGCTCCTCCTGTAATCCTGGTTCCGTCTCATGAACTAAGCACACAATTCGCCCTGTCTTATTAGAAAAAGCTTGCAAACTCATAGGTAACAAATTGATTTCATTTTGAACATGTTCACTACTGAAGAGTTCAGTTCCATCAAGATAGAGAAACGTATACAGAAACACTGATGCACGGGTGCGTTCTATCCACTGATAATCACATTGATTTATCAGTCTGCTCAGGCTTTAGCAGGAACTTGTGTTTGTTAAGAAGACATTTATTGGCTCCCGAGTGGCGCAACCGTCTAAGCGTTGGCCCTATCATCAAGAGATCGCGAGTTCGATCCCTGGTGATGCTACAGCCATCCGTAGCCGGGAGTCCAAGAGAGCACAATTGGCCTCGCTCTCTCTGGGTGGGTAGGATGGCCCCCCCTCTCCCCCCATCACTCAGCGCGATGCTAGTCAGCGCAGGCGTCTGTTAGCTGACGTAACAGATCTGGCGGGTGGCGCTTTCCTCAGCTGTCCAGTGACGTTGCGTGAGCGGCAGTTCGAAAAGAAGCGGTGGTTGGCTTCACAGGTCTCGGAGGAAGCCTGTGTTGGCCTTCACCCTCCTAGCGTTGATAGTATCGTGTGATTGGGGGAGTCCTAACTAGCGGGTGGAATTGGAGACGACTAAATTGGGGAGAAAAATCGGGTAAAAATTAAAAAAAATAAATATAGAAGACATTTATTGTTTAAGACATTTCATGAAAATATCACTTCTTTAAATGAAGTTACAAAATCCTCTACATTAATTTGGCTCTCATCGCTTGCTTTAGTCCACTGCTGCTACCATAATCCCTGCAAAATGAACTAAGCACACAATTCGCCCTGTCCCATTAGAAAAAGCTTGCAAACTCATAGGTAGCAAATTGATTTCATTTTGAACATGTTCACTACTGAAGAGTTCAGTTCCATCATCCCTCAAATGAGTTTAGCAACACTGAGGTTAATAACTGGCTTGTCACAGTGCACTCAGGCTTTAGCAGAGGTGAATTTAATTTATGTGTAAAAATCGAGAAAATGCCATTTGACTGCAGAGGGTTAACCTTTAAAGGCATTTGCATATGTGACATGATAACATGATATCGAAAATGCCCCATTATCTTCATTGCTACTTTCCAAAACCACTGCAGCAACTTCAGCAGGTGTAAACGCTTTCCATGGCATTCCATGTGTCTCCAATGTCGAATGAATGAAGAATCGAGGGTTTCTAATGTGATGGGTAAGTCCTTAGATTTCCAGAGTCTCCATTGGTCAGTTTCACACAAAATGTAGGCAGACAAAAATCACCAATTACACACAATGAGAGACAGGTGATGCGTTTCTCAACACCTTAATAGCCTCGCGACTCCGGATGTGAGTCACATACAACGTCACGATAAGATGGACTTGAAAGGGCAAGTCTACAGATTCTGTGCTGGATTAATGCAAAGATAGAGAAACTTATATAGAAACACTGATGCACGGACAAGTCATATTCGACATTACATAAAAAACCTTGTGTAGGTTCACTGGTGGTTTTGGACAGTAAATAAAATGGCTATATTTGTGTTGTAGACATCACCATCTCTGGTTTCCGTCACCACCACTGTAAAGCCATCCGAGTCAGTAAGCGTCTCTACAATGAACTATTTCACATCAAACCACGCTGAATGACTGTGTTTACATCTGAATGTTTGAATTGCATGGAAATTTTGATAATTGGGTGAAGTTCCTCTCTCAGTAATCAGATAGATTTGCTTATGTGGTTTCTAACACTGTAGAGCATACATACAGAATCTGATTTGATTCATTTTCAAGACAGGAATAGCTAAAAATGTGCCTTGTGTTAATATGTTACTGTTTCCATTTCATGTTTAATACACTGTGCTGTTACATCCCTACTTGTTAGCTACATTAGCCTTGTGTAAAACTAAAGAAGCAAACTTCAGACACCACATGCTTTTGCTGACTGAATTCAGTTGGGGTAAGGAAAAAATTGTGTAAATTTGACTGTAAGATTTTTAAAATAATCTCTGTAAGCATAAGATTACTTTGCTTGTTGTTATAGCCACAGTCATACATCACTGATATACTCATATACATATTCAAAAGTCTGACATTTGTTATGATTTATGAGTTTATAAAGGGCGTTGGGGGGTATGCGGGCAGCTTAATGTAACACAGCCTCCTGCAAAAACACAGATACGGAGCAGAGTAACCCACCTCCTTTTCACTTGCCGTGCTGGTAGGAGTACGCTGTATGCTCTGTGGGCGTCTCTATGGCAACCTGCTGCTGCTGGACGGCGTTCTCCTGCAATTTCATGAGGTGAGCGTTACCACTGGTGAGTGATACAAGTCTTTCTGAAAACACTCAACACTTTTTGTCGTCATTAATTTGGCTCACCTCGACTGAAACGCTGGCAGGAGGCACTTGGGTGTACTGGGGTATGTAAGTCCCTTGCATAGCTGTGTTTGCAGGTATATACTGGAAACAGAAGCCAACATTGTCACTGTAAGGTGATTATGAACATACAGCACTCTGGGGGCTCTGATGTTGTGCTGTGTGCATTTGTGCCTCTGTGAGGACGCTCACCGTGCCGGTGCTGCCCAGGGACAGGTGGCTGAGTTGCTGGGTGAGAGGCCCCATCATGGCAGCAGGCTGGATGGACAGAGTGTGGTCCATGGTGGGCGTTAGGACCGTGCCCTGTGGGTTAGACATAGAGTGCGAGGGAGAGTAAGACGAATATGAACTGTACAGCAGGAACAGCAGTTTAATAGATGTCTCATCATAACTGACTTACTGTGGGCTGCATGAGGTATGACTGATGGTGCATCCAGGATGGATTGTGTACCTGCAGTACAGGAAAGGGCCACTGTCAGCACAAATCAGAGAAATGGATGCATTGAGACTAGTTTATAGCTGCAGCAATTAGCTGGATGTGGATTTTTATTGTCAATCGTTTCCTTAAAAAACATTCTAATGCTCTTTAACAGTGGTTCCCAAACTGTAATGATGTCAGGGGTACATCAAAAAAATTGACCTTTACACTGTGCACTTCCCAAAACGGCACAACTCCTGAGCAAGAGATCCTCACTGAAACGGCTTTACAGATGATGTGTGTGCATGAGTGATGAGTTTTTACAATATATATTTTTATATATTTTGTTGATTTTCTAATTGAAAGTAGCTCTACAGAAAACCTAATTATGGCATTTTTCTGCAAGTGTTACTGCACAATATGTATTTATTTGCTAAGTTTAACATATTGGAAAAAATTGAACACAAAACATAAAATGTGCCATAACTTTTGACAGGCTACATTTTACATTTAATCTTTCCCCGCTACATTAAATTCAGCAAATAAACAGTAATTGTGCATTAATATGTGAAGAAGTGTGTTCTCTGTAGAAATGTGTTTATGTCACTTAAAACATTAACAAATTAACAAAACTTTATTTGAGATAATAAAAAAACTTCTGAACTGTATGTGATCTGAATGTTAGTGAACATTTTGTTATTCGCTGTTCACTTAAGAGCCGCAGAGTCTCTCATACATACATATGTGCCTTCATATTGACCACTGCCTGTGCTGCTGCCTTTGTGATTACAAATGTAGAAGTAAGTTCATTGAGTGAATCACACCTATAATACAGACCGAAGATGGTCCATCGCAGTGAGTTTATAAGACCTAGTTTTTTGTTTTTGGATTTTCACACCATTTTCTAGCCAAATATAGGGACTGCCAATTCCACTCGCTAGCTAAGTCTCCCCTATCATTATCGGAGCAATTGGGCTCTTTTGGACTCTCAGGCCATGGATGGCAGTGGCATCACTGGAACTCAAACTAGAGATCTCAATACGGCCCATGCTTAGATGGTAGTACCACTCTGGGGCCTGTATATTATACATGTAGGCTAGAGCTAACTGGAGTTTGCTAATCGAGCTGCAATCCATGTGGTTTGTCACTTCTATTTAGTGCAAAAGGTTAGTGTTTAATTTGAGAGGATAGCATCCAAAACAAAATCCATCCTCTATGCTGGAGTATTCAAGATTTATTTATGTGTTTGTTTATGTAGCACTTTTTACAACAGGTGTTCTCTCAAAGCAGCTGTACAGCAATCTGGATCCAAGCCCCAAAGAGCCAAGGGCAAGAGAGGCTAGGAAAATCTCCCTAATAGCAAGAGGAAGAAAGCCTGAGAGAAACCAAGACTGAAAAGTGGATCCCCTCCTCTTTGGCCGACACTAACACAACAAAAGCAAAAAAAAAAACAAAACAACAATAACACTACAAAAGTACGGAGCCCCTAAGGGGCCATGGTTAAAAAAAAAGTTATTACATTGCGTTCCCTCACAAATGTTTTGCATTCCCTCGCAAAAAAATGCATTCCCTTGCAAATGTTTAGCATTCCCTTGCTAAATATATGCATTCCCTATAATCCCTATAAGCAAACGTAGGACCAGAGGTGCCCAACAACACTGCCTACATTAGAGCTTTGTTTTTAGCATATTTAACGTTAAAAGCTGTTTTCTCAGTTTCGCCAGTCTGTGCTGAGTTTATTCAGCTATTGTTCTCTGCAGTCTCTGTAAATGTAGCTTTTACTGTACGAGGACACTCAATCTCAGTTTCAGTTTGAGTCACTAATAGCATAATCATGTTTGATTTTGAGAAGCGACACTATGCCATTTATATTTCAATCCAAGATCAATGTAAAATTCAATGAGCTGCTTTCGCATTTGTGAGGTAGTGCATTTTATTTGCAAGGGAAAGCAAAACGTTTGCGAGGGAACGCAAAACATTTGCGAGGGAACGCAATGTCATTAACTTTTTTTTTTTAACCACGGCCCCTTAGGGGCTCCGTACAAAAGAGTTATAAATAAAGAATAAAGGTTTTGCAATACATATACAGTGGTGAATATAGAAAACAGAAAAGAAATTAGCCTGTCATTGGACAGGAGTATTTACATCAACCAATAATAACCAACTTATGTAATAAGCCTCTCATAACGACAAATTAGCATGAATACCAAAGAACTCAGTCTAAGACTGAATAGTTAGTGTCCGTCCAAGTACTAATATCATGAGGATGGTGAGTGGGGTATGCAGGTGAGGCTTGCTGCACAGCTGGAGGGTGAATATACAACAAAATTAACCAAGCCCAAAATACTAATGGCTTTTACTAAAGGTTTTGGCTGGTCAGAGTCCAGATTAAACATTATAGAAAATAATTAGTCTCACATTAAGCACAAACTAGCTTGGCAATGTTTTTCAACTTGCCAAGCTAGCAGAGCAATATTGATTCTTCTTTCTGTAAAAGGCTGTCTACAAGTTTACCCACAATACCTCAACATTTAATGTAATTAAAGGGAAAAGTTATCCGATACTAAGTTACTTTATCTCTTTGTCTCTTGCTAATTTACTGACTGATGATTTGTTATTAAGCCTAGCGTTTTGCCATTTTAGGCTTGGCTCATTTTTTTTTGTATGCGAGTTTATTTCACTGCTGTTGGAACAAAACCTCATATCTCCAAAATGATAACTTTAAAGGGAAAGAAAAAAAAAACATATTATACCTGTAATGTAATCAGATTTTTTTACAAGCAATTTTGTGCCATTTCTTTTGGTCCATTTACCATGAAATTTACAAACAACGTAAAGGGCAACAGTCATTTTCAAATCATATCAAAAACTCAAAAACAACAAAAACGTGTTTTTTTTGTTCTGACAGCAGTGATAAAGTGTATAGTGTAAGAACATAGTGTATATTTCCTAAATTGACACGTGAAACGGTGACAGCTCTGACCTGGTACGTTGATACAGGAGAATGCATGTAGGGAGAGATGGAGGTTTGTGTAATCATTCTGTTGGGAGTGATGCAGTAAGGAGAGGAGTAGAACCTGCAGGGGGAGACATACACACACATTCACAGTGCTTTCAAAAAATAGCTTTCATAACTCCATCTGTACCAATGACAAATTAATCTACACCATTTCACAAATGAGCCCAAATCAATACATCAATATCAGTATCTCTGTCTGATGAAGCACAAGCTCACCCATTTTGAAGGGCAGGAGTGGGGTCATACGTTAGTGTCATCCCACCCTGTAACGAGGAAAGGTGAATGTGAGAAACTGGGAACAGCAGAATGTTAAGCATTTATTTAACCACCACTAGACAGTGTTTTTCATGACTTGAAAAGGCAGTTTTACAATGTACAAAGTCACAAAGTTCTGGCTGTATCAGAAACTTTGGTCTTAACTCTTGCAATGTGATCGCTACTATGACACATATCTAAAAAGTAACCAACAGGGAGCAGTATGGAATGGCATGTGGGTGAGAGAGAAAAAGAGTGAGGATGATGAAGTAAAACAGGTGGTCAAACTTAAAAAATACTGCAGCTACTCCAGCTGTCTTTTGTCAAAACACGACTAAAGTAGCCAAAAATGCACAAAGAGAAACTAATCCATGAGGTGGAGAAAAGAGAGATAGATATACCTTCCTCTACGGATGTTAACCCAGTTGAGAGCAGAATTGCTAATATTTACGTCATATTTAATTATTATTATTAGTAGTACTGGTATTAAATTTAAAATTAAATTTAAATGTGTTATAGAAACGTTATGTGTGATCTTGTTTATAGTGTAGACATCCTGAAGTCTTTGTGACGCAATGTGATACTTCATTTAACTTCTCTCCCGGCATCTCACCGTCTCTCCATCTCGCGTCCACGGCCGCCCGTTCTGAAGATATTTCCCCGGGTTCTGCCGTTTCTTCTGCCCCCCGTCAGCGAATTTGCACAGCAGCGGCTCTGTAGGCACTGAACAAAGACCCAAGGATCATTTTTCAACATGAGCTTTCTCTAGAATTCCAGTAAATAAGAGGCAAAAGGCTTTCAGCATGACACTGAATGACAGTAATCTATAAGAGCCCAGTACCTGCCACTCCAGGTGGAGTCTTGATGTATTTGCCGTTGAAGTGCTGGATGATGGCTTCGCATTTCTCTGTTGATTCCATCCTGTTAGAAATGATATACCATGTCAGGTAATACTTCTGAGTGCTGCAAGTCTTTATTTCAGAGGAAGTAGGTGTTTGCTGTGTACCTGGCGAAGCCCACGCCTCTGCTGGCACCGTTGGCATCCCGGAGAATGCGTGTGGAGATGACCTGACTGAAGGGCTTCAGCATGCTCTCCAGCTCCTGCTCGTCCATAGACAGCGGCAGGTTGGAGATGTACAGGTTGGTGGGGTCCTGCTCCTGTTGCTGAAAAAAGAGACAAAGAGAGAGTGTTTCAAATCATTGTCATTTCAGTGTAGTTTGAGCATATTATTCCTCTGTTCCAGTCATGTGACCATATTCTTTCAGTCTTCTGCTGCATCCTGAAGGAAAGCAATGGTGAAGAATGGTTGGGTTTAATTCATACCCAGGTCCACATAGTTACTGATTTAAAGTCTTTTGCAGCTTAGAGGAGTGCCCCACACATGGAAGTGAGGAACTGATCTCCTCATTCATGCAGGAACTGCACCATTATACAGTACTGTGCAAAAGTCAGAGACTACTCTTCATTTATTTAATGGCCATTAAGTACAAACCCAATTCCCAAAAAGTTGGGACAGGGGTAAAATAAGACTAAGAATGTTGTGAAATGTTCAAAAAACATCTTAAACAGGTGATCCAATCATACATGGGTATAAAAGGAACAGTCCTTTATGACCACAGACGGGTTGAGGCTCACCACTTTGCCTAAAATGCTTCAGCAAAAAATCCAACAGTTTAAAAATAATGTTCCTCAGCTATGGATTGCAAGAATTTTAGATACTCATTACCATGCATAATGTCATTAAAAGATTCAAAGAATCCAGATAAATCTCTATGCATAAAGGGCAAGGCCAAAAACCACAAAAGAATGACCCTGACCCTCAACCCCTCAGATAGCATGGCATCGGTTCTGTCATGGATATCACCACATGAATCCTTTGAAAAACCACTGTCAATAACCACTGTCCGTCACTGTGGTCCACAAATGCAAGTTAGGACCGTATTATGCACAAGGGAAGCCATCCGTCAACAGCTGACTTCTCAGGAAGTCTGAAGGCTAAAGTTGGAAGGCTGACGTTGACTGATGCACAGTGGAAACATATATTGTGGTCTGACAGGTCAAACTTTCAACTTGTTGATGGAAACAGTAGACGCTGTATTCTTCAGGCCAAAGAGGAAAAGGACCTTCCAGTTTGTCACCAGCATGAAGTTCAAAAGCCAGGTCATGTTATGGTGTGAGGGGGTATTAGTGGGTAATCTACACATCTGTGAAGGCACCATTAACACTGAATACATTTTGAAGCAACATGCGCTGCCTCTTAAATGCTGTTTTTTTAAGGGATACCCATGCTTATTTCAACATACATACATGGCAGCATTATCAGAGAGTATGGGTGTTCGACTGCCTGCCTGCAGTCCAGACCTGTCTCCCATTGAAAACGTGTGTCTTTGTTACGCTCAAAATACAACAGCAAAGCCCCCATAGCAGAAAATTCCGCTTTCAAAACTGGATCAGTTTGGGTCTTTAGTCCCTATATATTGATTAAGTGTTGTTAAAAGGAAAGGTGATGTAACACAGTGGTAAACATGCTCCTGTCCCAACTTTTTTTGGAGCGTTCTACAGGCATCAAATTTGGGAAAAACAGAAGGTAAAACAAAAAATATTGTGTTTTGTACCATTTTCAACTCAACACAGGTCAAACTGTATTTAATAATTACTGCTTTCTGTTTTTATTAGCATTTCACATACTGTTCCAACCTTTTTGGAATTACGTTATACAAGTTATTCATTTCCAGGAGATACTTCTATGTAGATTAGATATAATACACTTGCATACTGAAGGGGAAAGTCAAAGGAAAACATGAAAAAATATGAGTTTCCAGAACTGGAGTTCAAAAAATGATTAAAACATGCATAGAGAAAACAGAATTCCCAACAACTGAGCAAGACCTGGTAGACCACCAAAAGCGTCATCATCAGATAAACAGTACTTAAATAAAACAGCAGTAATCAACCAGAACTCTAGATTCATATAAACACAACCAACACTTCACCTCACTAACCAACAACACCCTTCACTATAAAGCATACGTCCACTCACCACAGGAACCACTTTTGCCCAATGAGTTAAAATCAGACAGCTGAAATAAACAACACAGCAAACTTAAGAACCTAAACCTAATCATCATAGGCTAAAGCATACTGCCACAGCAGGCAGGAAATGTTTATGAACCATTTATGTCATACCTGTGATGACTCAATGCACTGAAGAAAACATCTGCTTTGACATTTGACAGAGCCCATTTTAGCTTTGGTAGTACAAGTGCATTGACGGTATCCAATTTGCGATGCTGACATGTTTTTTAAATTTGTTTTTGGCTTTGGATGGGTAAAAAAACAACACCCTCCACTCTATCGGGGACCAATTCTCTCTTTTAAACATCTACAGGTACATCCTTTGACCACAGTTGGATTCAAACACTGATGCACTGATAACAAAATGGTTGGCTAAGCACTGAATGAAGGGTTGATGACAAAGGCGGAGGTGGAGAACGTAATGATTTGATTGTCCATAAAACAATTATGGCACCCACAGAAAACAAATCAAATTTCATTATCTTTAAAAAAATATAGCTTTGTAAATACTATGTCCCCATTTGATTGGGTATTGCCCCTGGATGGTAGATCGGCAGGTGGAGGAAAAGAGGTCTGTAGACGTGGCACATCACGAGAGAGGAGATGTCCAAGCGGCTGTACCCTCGCTGAACTCCCATCAATCATACAAGTTCAGGCCGCTAAATCCTCAATACTAAAGCACAAGTGGCTCTGAGGCTGCAGACAGGTCGAGGGTGTGAAACCTGGAGGGCAGGGAGTCAGAGAGAAGAACTGCACCTCCACACTGCACCACCACTGCCAGCTTCAGTCTCCAGGGCTCTCAAACGAAAAAACAAAGACTCTGAGGGAATGTGTGTGTGGGGGTGTGTGGTGTGTGTTCGAAATATTTCATTTTCACAGCAGCCTTAAATGGAAGTAAGTCCAGACAATTATGCAGTGACTAACGGCTTCAGAAGCAGCTTTTTTCCTCTTTAGATAAAAGGTGTCAAAATAACTGGCTGGAAGATGTTCAGGTTGTCAACTCATTACCATATACACGTCCTAATTGGCTCCATGTGCTGCAGCATAAAAGCCCATAGAATAATATGCATGCGCTACTATGCTCAGCTTTCTCAACTTGAGATTAACTACGGCCACAAAGCTGGGGGTTTGCATGTGCTTTGACCATTACTCCAGTTTTCACACTGTGTCACTAATAGACAGGAAGCCTATTTCTACCTTTCTAACCCTGCAAAACCCTCCAGAAACTGTGCAGTAACAGAGGTCTTACAAGTTTACTGCATGCCACACTGTAAGAGATGATGATACTTAAATCCTAGCCAAATTCTGTAGCTGACTGCATGATTACAAAGTACTGTGCCAAAGTAAAAGACTACCCTTTCATTTATTTAATTTTCAATTCATTTTCTATTAATTACAAGTTATTTATTTTTTCAGGGCCAGAAAAAAAGCAAGAAACACATTTAACAGAAATTTACACAAAAGCCTCCAACACTTAATATAAAATCAAATCTATCAGCATTTAATTGGTCCACTCTTTGCTCTTGTGCTTCACTTCAACCATCCTTCCAATCTTACAGCTTACGGGTTACAGTTGTATCCTCCCAACAAATGCTGTTCCCAAAGGTCTTACTGACATTGTTACCCTTCAAGGAGACACTAAATGAACTAAATTAAACTAAATTATAAGAAATAGACAAAATAGAACTCCTGACAACCATGCAAGACCTGGTAGACCACCATGGTAAACTGACAGCATCAGATAAACATCATTTAAAGCTGTCCTCTTTGAGAGAGAGGAAAAAATCTCCATTGTTGATTCAGATCTGAAAAAACTCCAAAGGCATTTCTGCCCATTCTTCCACTGTGAGAAGACAACTCAACACTATGAGTCTGAAAGGATGAACAGCTGCCAAGAAGCCCTTACTGAGAAAAGGCAAGGGAGATTTACACTAGGACACCAAAACTGAGATGTGGAATGAGGCTTGTACTCAGGAGTACTTGGATCATGAGAAGCAGAAAATGCAACCAATACCTATGACTGAACTTTGGAGGTAATATCCCTACAGATGTCTTAGAAAAACTCACAAATCTTAAGACTTGTCTTAGTAAGTCTCACAAGTTAAATGGAGGGAGACACTAGATACTAAAAATATTTAGTTGAGGATTCTGTGTGATTTTCTGTCAATTATGTTTTCTTCTTTTTCTTCTACTGAAAAATGAATAACTTCTACTTAAAGCCCACTTTGAATGGAAGTTAAATAAACAAAGGCTGACTTTTACACACTACTGTATGTTAAAGATGCTCTGATGCAGGCCTTTCGTCCGAGGTAATGACTACATTCTGCTTGGTCATTCCTCCATCTCCACCTGTGCATTTCATTGTCACCATCATTATTGCCGCTGCTATCTACTTGTGGCTGGAATGAGTCATCTCATGCCAGTCTTCTGCTGGTGCATCACAGCAGCAGTGACATTCTGAGATTTAGATTTTTACTATAACTTTATCGTAGACCATCTTTGCTCACAAAACACAAAAATCACAGTGCTTAAAGACCACAGATTTCACCTCATGAACAAAGAATTCTTTTACAGTTTCTGATATAACGTAAGATCATTAGAAACACATCAGAGGATGTTTTACAGGCAGAAAAAGTCATTATATTTTCATAGAAGATAAGGAAAAAACAAGAGATTTGCCTGTCTCTTAAATGGTATGGTGTGATGAATCATGCTTAATATGGTCAATATGGCTGCTCAACTCCTGAAATTCTGAAGTCGATTCCAATTTCAAGTGTTCGGAATTGATAGCGTCTATTCCAAACTCAAGACATGAGGAAGGAGTCTCCGTGTGGTCTCGAGTCCAAAGCTCTGGAATTCCCAAAAGCCTAGAATCTGAGAATTGAACCTTTTTGGCACTAATGACGAGGCACAGGCTGACTTTTAAAAAACTGAACAACTTAACAACCATAGTTCTAAAATATTAGGCTTAACCTAAACTGCATCATAACTGAATTGTAGGATTGCGCTGAATCCTTGGACACAGAACACTTCATTATAGTGTAATATATCACCAAGTTCCAGTCTAAAATCTAAAGATATGCCCAGACAGCTCCGTTTAGGCTTAGGTCCTTCAGGGCTAATTACAATGTCCTGGTCGAATTCATTTTGTTGTTCACCATTTCAGCAACTCTTGGTGTCAATGGTCTAAAACAAACCACAAGGATCGTAAAGATAGCTGAGCGACACCGAACCTGCAATTCACCCTGGCGGTGCTTTGCATATTCATTACGCTGGTGCGCGGACGAGATTAAAAAGCTGTAAATTCATTACCACTTCATCTCCATGTCATGAATAATGGATGCGTAATTGCGGTGACCTGCAATGAAGGTGATTTTTTTCTCACTGATCTCATCACTTCTTGAGACGAGGCATCTTTTCCCACACAGCGAACGTGAGGCGCAAGAAAGCCCACAGCGCTCTCCACATAAACACAGTCACTCCTAAATAGGTCAGGCCGCTAAAAAGCTCCAAAATGGCTGTAATTAAGTCTGCAGTGGAAGGTAGAGGGGCAGAGATAAGTGGGGATTTCTATTCTGGTGAGAGCGAAGGGAGAAAAGCTGAGACCAGCTGCCCTACACACTTTAACCTGGAAATATGCAGTGAGGGCGGTGACGAGGGTGCGAGTGATAGAGGCAAGCTGTGTGCTGGCCTGAACCAGGAGCTGCAGTGAGGGACAACTAAGCTACAATATGGCCAATAGGGCTGACTCAGAGAGAAACGGAGAGAGAGAGAGAGAGAGGAGAGAGAGAGAAAGAGACAGGGAGACAGAGACATGGAGGAAGAGAGACAGTAATGTGGAGGGAGCAAGAGATGGGGAAAAGAGAGAGAGGAGAAAACAAGTGAGAGAGAGAAAGAGAGACGGGAGAGACAAAGATGGGGGAGAAAGAAATGGGGAGAAAAATAGAGAGAGGGACAAAGACAGAGAGAGACCCTGGGAGAAACAGAGACCTGGAAAGAGAAACAGTGAGACAGAAAAGGACAAAAAACTGTAAGAAAGAAGAAGCAAAGGAGAGAAACAGTGAGAAAGACAGACAGAATAAGAAAGAAAGACAAAGATTATGAAAGACAGAGAAAGAGGAAGAAACATCTTCATTTCTCTTCACACTTCTTCACTCTTCTTTACACTTCTTTACGCTTCTTCACACTTCTTCACTCCTCTTCACACTTATTCACTTCTCTTTAACCTTATTCACTCCTCTTTACACATCTTCACTCCTCTTCACACCTCTTCACCCTTTCTCACTTCTCTTACACTTCTTCACTCCTCTTCACTCCTCTTCACACCTCTCACACCTCTTCACCCTTTCTCACTTCTCTTACACTTCTTCACTCCTCTTTACACTTCTTCACTCCTCTTTACATCTCTTCATTCCTCTTTGCTCCTGTTCACGCCTCTTCACTTATTCATTCTTCTTCTTACTTTTTCACTCCTCTTCATGCGTCTTCACTTCTCTTCACACTTATTCACTTCTCTTCACTCCTCTTTACACCTCTTCACACTTATTAACTTCTCTTTACACTTCTTTACTCCCCTTCACTCCTCTTTACAACTTTTCACTCCTCTTCATTGTTCTTTGCCCCAGTTCACTCCTCTTCACAACTTCTTCACTCCTCTTCACACTTATTTCTCTTTACACTTCTTTACTTCTCTTCACGCCTCTTTATACTTCTTCACTCCTCTTCATTCTTCTTTGCTCCTGTTCACTCCTCCTCATACTTCTTCACTCCTCTTCCCTTCTCTTTACACCTCTTTACTCTTCTTTACACTTCTTTATTCCTCTTTGCTTCTGTTCAATCCTCTTTACACTTCTTCACACCTCTTTAAACCTGCTCACTCCTCTTCACACCTGTTCACTCCTCTTTACTTTCCTTTACTTCTCTTTACAACTCTTTACTGTTTATCATATATCGGTACTCCACTTTAGATCTTTTTACACATTTTTACTCCTATTCACTCCTCTACACACCTCTTTATTCCTCCTCTCTTCACTCGACTCTACTCCTTCTTACTCCTCTTTATTCCCTTTTATTCCTCTTTTCTTTTCTTTACGGCTCTTTACTCCTCTTCACTCCTGCATGCTATTTACCTCCTTTCCCCTGAGTGGATGAGGACCTGCTGCTATTTTGGGTGAAGAATAACTGTTTCTCGTGTGTTTATCAGAGCCTGAGACAGCCTGTCCCAAAACTAAAACAAAGCCGCGTTCAAATGTTTAAATAAAACCATCATGTCTGAAGTCTGACTCCGTCCCAGGACATTCTGAAACCTCCTTTTTTGTCCTTTTACAGTGGCACTGCGGAGTAATGGGAGCAGGTGTTTCAGGGAGATTTGTGACCTCTTACCTTCGCCATCTGAGCCTGAACTCCACTGGCCTTCAGTGCGGTCACAGCTTTCTGCGCAGACGCCGGACTGTCAAAGTCCACAAAGCCATAGCCTGCGCACACACAAACACACACATAGACAAACACACACACACAGTAAATGTCTGTGCATCTGAATACATACATACTGCTCAGTTTGTCTATATTCAGGAGTCACAATTATCAATGGCCCAAACAAAGGCAGGTAATTTCATATTAATTACTTCTCATATCATTTCTCAATTATATCACATAGCCAGGGCAGAGAAACTGTACTTAGTATGAGAACTATGCCAAAAATCTTACTCAGTTAAAAGTGGTAGTATGGAGCCAGCAGAAGTCAAAAAGTATCTATATTTAAACATACTTAAAAGTAATATAAAAGCAAAAAGTAAATGTTTATGGATAAGTGTTAGAATTAACTTTTTTGTTTACATTAAAGTAACTCTAATGCTGAGTATGCGCCAATCATGCTCTGTGTAAAAAAATCACTCAGTCCACCCAGTCTTAACCCTTTTGAACTCTGAAATGTGTGTAGAATTAAAATACACTTAAATACTAGGGTAAACTCAGCATACATACATAGTGGGATCTTCAGGCCCTGATCATCAAGTTATAGGCCGGCAAGTTATCCATGGATGGATCCCTACATAGCAATCATTTCATTGATAATTTCTGGTGGACATTTGTGATACCACAGCAAGTTACATGAGACAATGGCAGCATATTAACTGTAGCTTTAGACACGTCACCACGATAACAGGCTTTTTGGAGTTTTTTGCCTAAACATACAAAACTAATATCAGGTTATCTAAGTGTATGATGTACAAATGTGCATATAAACAAGAACATTTGAACTAACTTTAATGTTCATGTAGAGTTTAATGTGACATAAAATTGGAGATGGACAGATGAGAGAACAAAGACAAGGAAAAACAGCAATCTCAACAGTCAAACACCCTGAACGACAAGCATATTGCCACGGCAGACGTAATAAATGTATATGGACAATTTATATGTTACCTGTGATGAGGACTTTATGTGTGAAAGTAGAAAATGACGCAGCAATGCAAAAACAAAAGCAAATTTGGAGGAATCAGGTCTCCCAGGCACTTCTTTTCAATATCTGAGGAAATGGCGGAGAGTGGAATAGTTGCTAAGCAATGAATTGAGAAGAAAATGAAGCAGACATTCATGAATGGATTATGACTGGCTGTGCTTTTTGATGTTTTATTTAATTTGATCTTGAAATAATGCAAGAGGAGATGGCAAAAATCATCATAAATGCTTTTACGCCAATTTTTACGTCACTTAGACACCCATCCCCCACCCTAGATATACTACCATATACTATGGTAATATATGGAGATGGTTTGAAGGTATTAAAAAAGCCTGTTCCTAACTTTCTTCTTACTGTCCCTTTGTACTCTTAGCCGTTTTACTGAAAATACAATATTACTGATTTTAAGCAACTGTGACAGACAGCGTAACAAGTTCACTATAACTGGGCTAAGTGTGTTACATATGTTCATATTGCAAAATGGTGGTTTCACTTGTGAGAGTGATGCTTTCTCCTTAAATCTGCAGTTCAAAAAATCTCAGTCACCGCAGACACGTGCTCCCCAGTTCCCTCTCATTTTCTGTTTGTGTTAATGTCGGTGATTAATTGTCTAATAAAACACTGCAGTGGTGGTGAATAATGAGGAAACTCAGTCGAATGTGTAGCTGTTTATTAGGAGGAATAACATTAGCGCAGCTCACATGCCGGCTAAAGCCTTCGGAAATGGAAAATGAAACTGGGGCGGCCCCTCGTTAAACAGCAGGGGGCACAGTCACACTATTATTAACTTTTTTCAACTTCCAGTTCATTGCAATTCATCACTCTTACTTATGACTTTCCTTATTACTTACTTATTACTTCTACATTACTTACTTGTACTTTTATATACTTGAGTATGTTTAAACAAAGTACAATTACTTCAGTACTATGTAACTAATAACTTTTAAATTAATTACTTATATTTTTATTTTACATACTTAAGTATGTTTGAGCACAGTATTAAGTACGTATTACTTATTATGTACTTGTTACTTTTAAGTTACTTGTACTTTTATATACTTCATTATGTTTAAACAGAGTACCAGTACTTTGATATTAAGCACGTATTACTTATTATGTACTTGTTAATTTAAATTACTTGTACTTTTATATACTTCAGTATGTTTAAACATAGTATAATTATTTTGGTATCAAGTACTTATTACTTATTGCGTACTTGTTAATTTAAATTACTTGTACTCTTACTTTCATATACTTCAGTATGTTTGAACAATGTGCAATTACTTCAGTATTAAGTACTTATTGCTTACTTAATTATATTGCATTACTTGCACTTCTTTTATATACATGAGATTTAAACTAAGTGCTACTTCAGTATTAATAATGTACTTCTTACTTTTAAATTACTCACTTGTACTGTTATATTTTTTACACTTATATATATATATATATATATATATATATAAAATAGATTTATATATGTTTACATATATATATATAAACAAAGTACAATTACTTCAGAATTAGGTACTTATTGCTTATTTAATTATATCATATTACTTTTATAATCTGGAGTATGTATAAACACACATTTACTTAAGTATTTTTTTCCTTTGCTCGTAGTTCATTTAAACAAGCAGCAAAATTTAGTTGGAACTGTGGATTGTAAACGTCCGATCAAAACCACATTTGTGTTTATAATTAGAGGACAATGATTATTATGGTTTGAATTTGATGAAAGGTTATTGTTGAGCACAGTCTTGTGTTTGTCAAAACATTTTAAAGTGCCGACTTCTCAGCACAGAATGTAAACTGAACATTTACATTCCATTACACAATCACAGTAATAACAGCACTATCTGTGTTCTGCCGCGCATATATAACAATTACTAAATGCAATGTCAAACCTTAACCATCCCACACACAGCCCCATCAGTCAGTCACTGCTCAAAGTTAAGAGGTCAGGCCACCAGTGTTTCCTGCTTTTCCGCTACACCCGGGCTCAAGCTGGCAGGCTGTGCTGCACGTGTTTGCCCAAATTCACACACACACACACACACACACACACACACACACACACACAGGCGAGTCCACAGACGCACAATGTGGCAGCACAGGTCCAGTCGACAGATGTGGAGTTATGCAATGAAGGCCCCAATGCCGTTACATCACGCCACACCTGCCTGAGATGAAACAGGCTGGCCAGCTTTGAAGAGCGATCACACACGAAAGAGTCAGACGGCATCACCTCTTACCTTTGCACTTGTTGGTGGTCTTGTCCAGAATGGCTTTGGTGGACACGATCTTGCCGTACCTTTAGAACACAAGAGAACATAAGAACATTAGCAACCTGCTTTTTATGTTTTTTAAAGCAGTAGTTAATACGGCCCGTATCATGGAAAACAGACTTTCCCTCGCTTTCTAGAAATGAAGCAAACATAACGTACTATTCACTCCTCAGTCCATACAGTTCACATTTGGAAACTAAGCTGCAAAACCAGCCCGTTTAGAATTCACTGTTTCTGTCACAAGAATCAATTTACCTATATTTACCTATTCAGCCTACAGCAGTTTAGCTCCACCCATTCATACTGAAGTTACAAGGAGTATTTCAGCTCTGAGTGCTTTCTGAATGAGGCACAATACAGTGCAGCCAAACAGAAGAGAACGCATTTGTCTTATTTTAGTCTTAAAGAAACAGCCTGTTTAATTCTAATTCTAATGATCATGTAAAAATGCATTGTGGACCTCAAGGCAGAAAATAAAATACAGGAAAAGCCTTAATTTTGTCTGTACCTTGGTTTATTTTTCTACCTACAAAGACACAGTTTCAATTCATGGTGTCCAAAACCACATATGCTTGTCTATTTGAGACTACTTAACAATTTAAAGTGGTTTGGGCTAAAATGTAGTATCACATTGCAAAGTCTTCAGAATGTCTACACAGGAATCAAATGTCAAATAGGTTGCTACATTATTTATCTTTAATGTAAATCGTTTATTTAAAATGCGCGGTTCATTAATTTGAAATATTTAATTTTGATTTAATTACAGCCAAATTGTCCAACAGACCTTTTTTTTAGCTGATTTTCATGAGCTTTATTTTAAGGCAAAGCTCACACTATATACCCTAAATGAACACAAAACACATTAGCACATTTCCAATACTTTGCAGTGCTAAAGCTGCAACATAAATAAGAGAATTTATGAAAGATACAACTGGCTATTTAGCACAATGAATCATGTACAATCATGCTATGAGTAAGTGTAGCAGTGGCACTCAAAGACAGTTTGAGTGTACTTACCTGGCTCACGTTATTTATCTCAAACATTTCAACTTGGATAAATCGTAATAATAAAATGTTTTCCAGTTCCGATCTCAGCGGATACCAAGCGTGCATCCATTTAAATACAATTTAAATATAGCATGAGTAGTGTATAGCAGATTTCACAGGTGATTTGACACCTATTTGATACCTGGATAAGATTAATGACATAACATTAGCCAGCTTATGTAGATAATGCAGCTAACCAGACCTTTCCTTGTAATGTAATAGTATCATTTTCTTAATTATAAAATTTAAGAGGAAGGCTTAGTCCCTTCTTTCTTCCATCTCCTGAATTAGTTTCTTCTCATCCATTTGTGTGAGGTGGAACATCAACATGACCAGACACAACAAAAATAGAAACGTCAAAAATGGCGCAGTGCTTCATGGCGTATCACTCTCTGATGCTCACGGATGGTGTGCACTGCTTTATTTATCATCATGGGAGATAGTCTGTGTATAGTTTGAAATTCTTTCATACTGATACCGATCCAATACCTTAAATTCCACATGGATACCAAAATGATACTTTTTTCTAATTGTGCCAAGCAAGACCTAAGAAATCATAATTATTTCTTAAACAAATTTCCTCTCTTCTTGGCCCTCCACATAAATCACTTTACCTGGATGATGTGACAAAATGAGGGGAAACACATCTCAGATCTCTTGTGTTAAAATATACTGTTAATCAATATCATTATAGTGTTGATGATAATAATCTGACTGTAGAATCTGAACCACTAAATATAGTCATGCAATGGAAAAATACTATCCAGCTTGTTAGTCTACCTTTTGAAGGCGGTAATCACTGTTAACAGTGAATTTGGATACTGTTCTGTAACATCATTCCCCCTGTTGCCCCCCACATGTTTCAGACAGACAACCTTTACTTTTTTGATATAATAAAAGATGTGGTTGCTCTGTGGACGACCACATTAGATAGTGGACAACAGCCAGCTGGCTAGCTAATAAATGCTAGCCGCGGTGCTAGCTGAATCTAAACATATTCAACACACTGACAAACGCCACAGCAGGTAACTTTCTGACTTCTAAAAATCAGAAAGCTGTCCAGTAAACTGTAATCTCGCTGTAAACTGTAAACTCACTAGTACTGAGACGTTTCGGTTGGTGCCTTAAATGGGAGTCTTCTGTCTAGGCCTGTGACAATTATTGCGTATTTGCCTGATCGCAATTTTTTGAGATGATCATAATTATTTATGCTGCCTAAAGTCATTTTCCACAGTTGTTCACTTTCAAAAATAAAAAACTGAATTGATTGCGTTGGGTTGAGGCAAACAAATGTGAATAAATCAGTGTATTTATTGAGACATCATGGAGCTTAAAACGAAAAAAGTTCTAACTGCTAACTTGGTGCTTTTACATTAGAAGGAATTGCTATGTAGTTAATTCAAACATTTTTAGTAGGCATGCTGGCAGAATAAGTGTTTTTAAAAAAATAATAATATTATATACATATATATATATATATATATATATATATATATATACACACACACACACACACACATATATATATATATATATATATATAGAAGAAGCAGCATTGATTCAACAGTATAACCACTGTTAGCTACTAAGTAAACAGAGCTAGCCGGTAAGGTGGCTAATCAGCTGATTTGGCTTTAGGCTTGTATTTTAATAGATGCAAACAATGAACAAGGAAGGCAATTCAATCGTTAAATGCAGTTATTTATATGACAATTAATCATCAGCTAAAATTTCAGCTCTGGCTTTGACACCGAACATTTCTTACCAGAATGACTATATTTAAGGTAAAGAGAAATGTGTGTGCATTTCATTTTGCTGAACTATTGCTGGGTAACACCTTGGTGTGTAACACCTTGACAGCTGCACCATGGTAATACAGCTCATACAGCCTTCTGGGTTTAAATGTGACTTTGTGAAGGAAGAGGCAATGTCACAGCACCACATGAAGCTCTATAAAGCGTTCCAGCGATGTTGGAGCCGGCGGCGGCTCCCTCGCTCCGGCTTTATGGTCCCTGGCCCTCTCTCATTCACCGTGCATTCACCACGTCCCGGCGTCATTTGCATGCAGTGTTTATGAGGGTCACTGCGATGCGGAGACGCCATGTTCTCTGAATAATGGATGCTATTGTGCTCGGCCTGCTTTGCATATCTTGAGGGGAGTTTGCTGCCATGCTGGTACAGAGATATAGGAGATATATGGCCGTGGCTGCATGTATGTGTCTATTGATTAGATGCAAGGCTTGAAACCCCCGGGTATTTGGGGGAGGGGGAAGCAAAGAGAGAGAGAGAGAGAGAGAAAAGGAGGATGAGAGAGAGGGAGAGAAAGAGTATAGAGAGACAGACAGAGAGGGAGAGAGAGAGGCCTCCTTTGCCCTGGCATGTGCATGCAGTGTAACCTGAGAGTTCTCCTTGTCTGCCCTGCGCCGCCCTGGCCGCGCTCCACAATGCTAACGGCCTCTCCCTCTGCCGCTCTCCGCTTGGTCCTAATGCACCAAAGACAAAAAAGCCATCCATTCCCATCTACAATGGCAGCACAATACAAGACTGGCACGCACGCATCATCTACGTCGGACGTTTTTCATCTGAGGAGCCGTCAGAAACAACAAAAAGACACTATACTAGCACTTTCAGTCTATTCATCTAAAATGCTCTTTGTGCTCTCGACAATGTTGACAATGCTTTGATCACTATGCTGTCATCTAGATCGCTCCGCTTATCGGACGCTAACAGCAAACTTTAGATCTGGTTTCGGGTCTTTTAGCAGAATTAAATCCATTATGATGAATACATGTAACTTTTGGGAGTGGAATGCGCAAGGTCATCCAGATTTCTGAACCCATCCAACTAGTTTGTAATAAAACGCAATTAACTGTGTTTTACTTTCTTACTGTCGTTTTTTCCTGACTTTTGCCCAAATATCTCCCCAACACCAATTCCCACATATCTCGCCCTTTCACAGGCTTCCTTCAAGACATGCAAGATGAGCCAGCACTTTCTGAATCACTGCTAAAGCAACGTCTTTGAACAGCTCAACATGCTTAGAGGAGAACGCTAACTGCTGTCTTGGACTCGCTGCTGCATCACCAGGGCTCGAATTCACAATCTGCTGACGATGGTTCTGCCACAACCTGGGAGCCATGTCTTTTATGTTTAACTGAGTTTTAACTATTCTGTAAGGATGCAGTAAAATTTCAGCTACAAAATTTTTCTGTCCAAAAATGGTCAAAAATGGCACTTCCAGTTTTTAGCCAAAAGAGAAAAGAAGGCAGAATTTTTTTTTTAATTAAATAAGCCTCAAAATCTGGCAGCAATCTAACACTTTACACATCATTTTCTTGGAAATGAAGATTAAAAACAGTAAATGAAAATGTTTTTATTCCCTTTTGCGCTGACCAGTGCATTCACATTCAGTCTGATCAGCAGTTTTATCAATAATAAAATAGTTTTTTCCTCATTAATTTGTAGGTTTTTTTTTTTTACCCAATTTAGTATTTTGGCAGCTTTACTCGCTAGCTAGGGAGGTTGAGGGCTAGCACCTGCTTCTTCCAAGACCTGAAGCACCACCAATTCTTTTCAAGCAGCCGCTAACACAATGTCATTATGTTATTACACTCAACACACACGTAGGAGAAGGCTAACTCCTAATTCTGTTACATTAGCTAACAGATGCCAGTTGTGCTGTCTTGGACTCCCAGCTATGGATGGCTGTGGCATTGTGGGGATCAAGCCTGCAATCTCTTGACAATAAGAGCCAATGCTTAGACAGTTAAAGGAGCCCAAACCTAATTCAAAAAATTTTCTTTTGAATTTTGGGACACAGCCAGCTGATACTGCATCTCACATTAAGCCAAATAATGATTGCATATGGAAATATTTTAAACATAATTATGGCAAATATGTGCATGTGTGCAAATCACACGCACCTAAAACAAAAACATAAATCACTAAATCAACCAAACAATCAGGTATAGATCACCTC